CTGCTGTGGTCTTTAATTTCCCTTGCAAAACTAAAATGAGGCATGAAGGGGTCATGTTTGACTTTTTAAGAAACGTCCACACTGTTTGCAGCGAAGCCATACTGTTTGTGTTTCCACTAGTGGCGTGTCAGTTTCCCACATCCTCACCAACAGTTCTGCTTATGAGGCGTCTAATGGGTCTAAAGCATTCACTCCTGGAGCTTTTTATTTTAACTTCATTTCTCTAATGACTAGCAGTGTTGGGAATCTTCTATGTGCTTATTCACCAGTGGTGTGAATACTTTCACTGGGAAACTATTCAGGATTTTTTTTGGTCCATCTTAACTGGGCTGTTTTCTGCTATTGGAAATGACAAAAGTCAGATGCACATCCTTTATTATATGTCTGATTTTAAAAATATCTCCCCCAGCTTGTCGGCTTCATTTCTGTTTTTATGGACTGGTGTCCCTGGGACCCCAGCTACCATCTCCCCTCTGCCCCCCACCATTTCCCATCCCAGCAAATAGCTGTCCACTCCCCAAGTTGAACTGGAATCTTTTTTCAACGATTCAGTATTTTTTTCTCTTTAATAAACTTATAGGTCCCACATAGGTGTCCCTATCCCTCCAGTGGCCTTGAACTTGGCAGGATGCCATGCTAGAACTAGCTCTTGCTCTCCCCATAAGAAATCCCCCCACCCAGGCCAAACCCTAAGTCATGCCACATAAGAAAAAAAAAAAAAGGATGTCAAGAACAAGATACTGGGTTCGTGACAGGTGCAGGGTACCGCCTGGACTTGTGTAGCTGTATCGGGAGCCACGCCCCAGGAACTGGGGGCAGACATGACCTCAGTCCTGCCTACCAAGGTCATCACTCCAGTCCTTGCTGATCAGATCAGGAAATGTGAGCTGCCTGGGCCACTCTGCCCTGATCACCGTGTTCACAGCTCCCCACCTGTCTTCCACCCATCTTCCACCGCTGCTGTTCCCCGTAACTACCACACGGTGGCGCCAGGGAGCAAAGCATCCACTCCAGCCTCAGTCCAGAGCAACACTTGGCTTCCTGCCCTCTGGCAGGTGGGCAGGCCGCTGGCTGGCCTCTGTTCCTGGGACACAGCTCCTACCTGCACTCCAGCAGTCGAGCAAGACCCGGCTGGCTCCTGCTCCTAGGATGATGCCTTTAGCAGCGCTCATTTCACTCCATTTCCATCCTGTAATGGGCGAGTGGCCTGCTGCCCATGGTTAAGGCTGAAGGATCATGCTGGGAAGGTGAAAGATGCATACAGAGAGGTGGACGAGGGGCCTGGCGGTTATGTCGCCTGTGACCCATACCGGAGTGCCTGGGTTTGAAACCCACTTGTGGTTCTTGACTCCATTTTCCTCCGGTTTCTAAGCAAGCAGAGGCTCAAGTGATTGTGCCTCGCATGTGAGAGGCCTGGATTGAGCTCCCAGCTTTGGCCAGACCCCGGCCACTGCAGACATCTGGGGGACAAACTCGTCAAAGGGGTGGGGGCTCCCTCTCCCCCTCTCAAATAACTGATTTAAGAAGCACTCCTCTAGATCCCCACATATCCACCTTCTGGTGAAAAGCTCGTATGCCCTCAACACTTGGATGTCACCCCATGCCACCGAGACCTCTAGGAAGTCCTCACCTCGATTCTCCACAGCTGCTAAGGAAGTCCAGGCTCAGCGGGGTCGCTGTTTACCTGGAGCCACACAGCAAGCCAGTGTTCTCCCGCACCCCCTGCCCGGCTCTTGCGCTGCAAGTCTGGACCGCCATCTCCTGAGCCAAGATGGTGCCCTTGGACACAGCCCAGGCAGCCGGTGCCAGACATACCCTTTCCTACTGTCATCCTGGAAGCAGACGGGAACCCCCAGCCCTGGGAGAGCCTGGGACAACGGGAAGGCTGAAGGTCAAGTTCCTGCACAGCCCTGGTTGGGTCCCCTGAATCAGCCACTACCCCAGGCCTCTCCCCAAGACTCGCCCACCGTCTCCATCTCTGTTTCTATGATCACAGCAAGGTGGGCACCTCACCCGGCTCACCTCTCCTGGGAGGGGGCGTTGGGTCCTGGCAGTCCTGGACAGCCGACACCTGCGGACCCCTTCCTGGGACTGACTGCCTTGGGACAGAAATGACTCAGGTCGGCTGGCCTCTGGGCTGCGGTTCCTGCTTCTGTACCCTCTTTGGCCGAAAGTCCTCAGCCTGTGACCACTGGCACTGCTGCGTCCATCTCAGGGGCCAGAGCCCGGCACAAGGATTCCTTGTGTTTGCACTTGGGACTGCTGGCATCCAGGGCCATCCAAGCAAAAAGGGCCTGGATTTCTCCTCTCCCAGCCCCCAGTTCCTGAAACGGGGAGCAGTTGTCACCTGTGTATCCCTGACCGACCATATTCTTCATGCCAGGGGGCCAGGTCCAGCTGCGATGGGCTCCAGAATGTTCTGAGCCACAGTTGAGATGCCGCGCTGTAGACTGTGAACAGGTACTAACAGTGCCCCTTCTAGATGAGTCACAGGCCTGGGGAGGCAGAGCCATGGGCTTCACACAAGAAAAAAGTGGCAGACCAAGCCTGGCAGACAGGAAGTGAGGCATCAGAACCCAAGCCCTAACCAAGCACACTCTCTCCCTCAGACCTGAACCTGCTGACTCCTGAGGCTGCAGCCAGGGCTCGGGTCAAGGCCGACCAGAAACAGAACCTCCCCACAGCTCCAGGGTGAGGATGGCACTTCTGGATGATTTCTTCTAGAAGTTTCCAGAACCTGAATGAAGTAAGGCCTTGGCTACGAAATGGGTAGATGTAGGTGCTACCGTATGGATGCAGGGAGCTGCAGTGCCAGCCAGCCCGGCCCACATGCTGTGGTCTTCACTGCCAAAGCCAGGGGACATCAGGCTGGAACTAGAACCCCAGAGGTCCATGGTTGCCATGGTCCTGACTGTGACCTCAGAGGTTTCTGCGGCCTGCCAGGCCATTCCTGGCCAGAGGCCGGGGCCACAGCCCTGCATCAGCAGCCAAGGCGATGGCCACAGTGGGCCCCTCTGGCGACACGCAGCACATAGCTCCCGTGGCCACAGCCCCACAGTTGGCTCGCGCTCTCTCTTCTGGCTGGAGGACCATAGCAGCCCCTCCCTGGGCACACACATCCCCCTGAGACGGAGGCTGCGACAACAGGGCCCCAGCCAGCTCTGCACCCAGGGGCTCTCCAAGCAGGTGCCTTCCTGGACAGAGGCAGTTCCGGGACCTTTGGATCCAAGCCCTGGTAGTTGCCAAGGCCAGGAATTGGGCAGGGCTATCTGGTGAGTTCTGGACAACTGAGCACCGGGAAGAGTGACCCCAAAGCCATTGGGAGAGCCAGTGAATGGGGGCAGGTGGTCAGAGGTTAGAGGTCAGAGGATGCCTAGGACTCAGCAGTGGCCTCACTGCCCTTGGCGGAAGCAGGCTTGGCTGAGTTCACGTACAGAGAGGACTGTACCCGCGACTTCCAGAGACAGACAAGGGAGGAGCAGGCAACTCCCCTGTGCTCACACCCTCCCCTTCATCACGTGGATGCAGACACAGTAGGTGGGCTTCGGAATCAAATTCCCTTCCCTGAAAACTGGGTGACAATCCGAATTCTCCATCAAGTAGAGGAAATGAAGCCAAATGCACAGAGGTGAGCAGACCCAGCCCAGGCCTCAGAGCCTGTACCCGGACCTGCTGTCCAGTCTGACCCTCCTGGGACACCCCTACGAAAGCCAAGGCCAAGGGCTGGTGACTGGCCTGTAAGCACCCTATGGGAAAAGGCCACGTAGGATCTGACAGGCTGGGGCAAGGACTACCTCCTCTAAAAACTGGTGGTCATGTACAGGACTGAAGTCTCAGGGTCCGGGAGGCTGACCAGAGGACAGATCATGACAGGTTGGTGGCATTTCTGGGTCAGTGGGAAGGACCCCCGGGCTGGCAGATCTTTCAGGGCCAGCTCACAGGTGTCCAGTGCGTTCCGTGCTGAGGTTGGGACCAGTGTGTACTTAAGGCCAGCAGCGCCCCAACTGTCTGTCCTCTGCAGGGTTTCCAGCAGCCCCTTGCAGTCCCACGGTGGGACGTGTGGGGGCAGCACAGCCCAGGAATGTAACCACCGCCCAGGTCATTGGCCTTCTGAGGACACAATACCAGGCAGGGTCAAGCCCTCTGGGTTCTGTCTGAGGCTCTCGCCACATGGCATCATGTTCCTCCACTTGCCTCCTTGGACTGGAGAAGGGATGACACAGGGCTGGAAGCCAGATTGGGCAGGAAAACCAGGATGAAGAGCCGAGTACAAGAGGCAGAGCAGTCGCACTACGCAGCGGGGTGGAAGGAGGCAGGGAGGGAGGACGGGAAAGACACCTGTCTGTGTGTGTGTGTATGTGTGAGTGTGCGCACGCGCGCACGTGTGTGTGTGTGGCTAAGTCAGCGATGGGGTCGTGAGGAGGACCTGTTAGCTCTGCGCGTTTTCAACCTGCGTTCCCCAAGCTGACATTGGCAATGATCGCAGGGAATCACTCCTGCTCCCCCAGCCCACCCCTCTGCACTCGGTTCTCCAGGAGCAGGTGCTGGGGGGACTGCGCAGGTGCAGGTGGCTTCCTCAGGAGCCCAGAGTCCCCTGTCAGGGCGGGGGAGGGGAGAACAGGAAGTGAGAAGGGAAGAGAAATGCTTGAGGCTGTGTCAGTACCTGGTAGGCAGCTCTCCCCAGTGCCCAGTGATGGCGCGGAGTGCGGCTTGGAGTCATCGCAGCTCAGGGGTCAGCTCCCCGCAGCCTCCGCCTCAGCCTTGCCTGCGGCCATTTCATCTGCACAGGTGGAGTTGCAGATCTAGCCGCCAGACACAGAGGTGGGGAAGGGGAGGTGACAGGCCCATGCATCCGTGCTCCCCACTCAGCCAAGGAGGTTGGCAGAGGCCAGACTCCTGCTTCCACCACATGGGCAAGGATGCCGCGTCCCTGCTCTGACGGGGCCCTCTGTCTCTCAGCCATGGCTAAGAGCCGTGCCACAGCCTAGCCCTCTACCGAGATGGATCTGAAGGCACCCAGGAAGTCTCATCTAAGCAAGTCCAGAATCAAGGCCCAGGAGAGATTTGCCAAGAACTTCCCATACAGGTGCAAGGCTCCCAGACTTCCCTACAATCAAGCCCTGCTTCCCAGGACTCCCTGGGGGACAAGTTCTGCCTGGGGTGGAGGGGTGGGCAGCAGGGGGTGGACAAGAGTGGAGTGAGCACCTCTGGGCCCCAGGGAGCCCCTGAACCCCGCCTCCTTGCTCTGTTGACAGCTGGAGGGAGGGGGTCCTCCTTTACCCCCTCCCCCATTGCAGCCTAAACTGAGGGGCCTAATGGGGTTCTGTTCACAAGGCACTCAGAGCAGTTGCTGTGCATAGAAAGTTCTCGAGAGCTGCTGGGTTTGCCTAGTGGCTGCAGGTCCCCGCCACATCCCAGGTGTCCACTGCTGCAGGCTGTCCTGGCTGTCAGAGCCTGGCCCGGAGTCACTGAAACCCTGGGAGGTCAAGGACACCACGCAGAAGGAGAAGCTGCCCCCGCAGAAGAAGCTGGTGCCCACCAGGTCCATCCCAATCCGAGGGTAAGCCTCCTTGGTATCCATATGCCCCTAACCGCTGGGCTTCTGCATGCCAGGTCCACGCTGTCCTCCCTATGTGCTCCATTCCACAGCCCGGAAGGCTGAGTCCAGGAAGAGGATATAGAAGGCAGGCAGGCAGCTGCCCACACAGGCACTTCCGGGTGAGGTGCAGGGCACTGGACATAGGGGAAAGGCAGAGTGACCAACATGTTCTCAAACTCACCTTCAGATAGACCATGTTAACATACACGGGCACACACACACACCCTGCTCCCCACAACCATAACCCTGACCCCTGCCCTAGGCTTTCTGCCACCCACCCTACCCCTGCCCTGTGGGCTGTAGGTGCACAGCAGCCCCAGGCTTCTGCCCCAGAGCGGGGTGGCTGCGGGGAGGTGTGCTGCACTGGGGCAGGGAGCAGGGCCGTGCACGCATGCCCAGAGATGGGAGAGCAAATGAGAACAAGTACAAACATCATGACCACACGGAGGGTCCAGCTTCCAGAGAAGTTTGAGGACTACTTGCAGGATGGGCCAGCAGGGTGCTAAAGGCCTGCCTGGACCTGGGATAGGAATGCTGCACTGAAGCAGACAGCTGGCAGGGTCAGATCTGGATTTAGCTGCTGGAGAAGGTGGGATGGAAGTGACTGGGTGCTTCACAGGTGCGGGTTAGGGGTGAGGTGAGGGCAGGGAGCAGCGTCTTGGGAGGACTGGGTTGTAGGGATGGGATGTAGGGGAGAGGGGTGGTTTGTGGGGGAGGAAATCCATGTCCCAGGGCAGATTGGCATGACTCAGCCTATCAGCAGGAGTAGGATCTCACCCAGTGACCAAGCAGGATTCTGGACCATGCCCCCAGCCACACACGGGGGCTAGGGAGAGGCTGTGGGAAGAGCTGGGAGGGCTGGAAAGGGGTCTGGTTTCCTCGGTCACCTGGTTCCTCCTGTCCCCCCTCTTCAATCTGTGGCCTGCTCTGGAGAGTCATCCTGTGTGGTTTCCTGTAGGCTCGGAGCTCCAGATTTTGCAGCCTTATGGGGCTTCTGTCCGCGGCCATCGCTGCCTCTGCCACCGCAGCTGTGTAACCTCTGGGAGCTCAAGTTACTCAGCTGTCGCTTCCCCAAACAGCTGGCTCAAGAACTGTCCCTGCTGCATGCCCATACTAACCATCCCTACATTCCCAAGGAGGCAGCAAGGCCCTCCAGGAGCCTGGTCTAGAGCCCAGATGCTGGCCAGGCGTCCCTTGGGCTGCCTTCTGGGCACCTTGCCCTGGGTGGTGCACACAGACCTGAGCCTCTTGGCCATGGTGAACCAGGAGCTCCCCGTCTCCCTTCAGACAATGCCATGCCAATAAATTTTGCAGGTTCAACCCCACTTGCATGCTGTGTATCTGCTTTGCCTCCCTGAACCCACCCTGAGCACAAGGAGTTTTCATTTGCAGGCTTGGAGTAAGGACTGACTCAACACACACAGGAGACACTGGGCCAAGCTGTCCATTCTAGAACAACTAGGAACACCTGAATATCCACTCATGACAGACAGTCCTACTATGTAGCTACAGGTCTGCAATATTAGGCAGCCATCAAAATGAAGCAGCGGGCATTAGTCCATTTCTTGCTGTAGCAAGATACCCAAGGCTGGGGGCTGTGTGAGGAGGAGCAGTTTGTGGAGCTCATGATTTTGGAAACTAGAAGTTCAGGAAGCAGCAGCCCTGTGATCCGGGGCCCTGGCATGGGCCTGCTGACACCCAGTGTCATGGCGGGAGCCGAGTCGTGCAGCAAACAACACCCCCTGCCAATCCCAGGTCTTCCCAGTGCCACCTTCTCCCCTTGCTGCCAGCACCTGCACCCTTAGGGGACAAGCCCCAGCCAAGCTCCACCAAGCGGACCAAAGTGGAGTCTCCTGTGGGGAGCACTAGGAGGAGAGTACACCAGTGTGTATCATGCTACCCCCTTGTGTAGAACAGGGCTGTGGGTGTGGAGCAGGGGGAGCCTGGGAAAGGGCAGGCAGGAAGGCACACCTTTGTCTGAAGTTGTTACTGGCTAATTGAGCACCACATTGTTGCTGGATTGTGTGTGGCTAAATGAGAAGCAGCCTGTAATACAACAGGGGGACTCCCTGCTTACACCCGCCTGGGTGGCTGGGATAAGCCCCCGGAGCCCATGGAGCCCATGGGTTGTGGACATTTTTCTTTCAAATAAATTCAACTGAGGAAAAATGGTATCTCGATATCTTGCGCCCTGCTGATGGGGTACATAAGGAAGAATCGTGCCCGATGCCACTTGCTTTTCCACCCAGCCTCAAGTGGCGGAGAGTCCTAGGGTAACGACCGTTGTTCACGCACGCTTCAGTGTTTGGGTTTCTCCATCCACTTTCCAGCAGAGACGTCTCTGCTGCTGTGGATGCTGCTGCTACTCAGGGAATTCCTGTTCCCCAACCCCAATTCTACCTGGAGGACACCCCCTGAAGGAAGGAATTGTGGGTGGGATGGGCGGGTCCTGCCACCTGCCCCTCCAGCCCACTGACCTGTTGGCTGCTGCAACACTTAACTGGAGCAGCAGGGGGCAGCAGGGAAGCTTGCCTGGCCCAGGGTGGCCAGCCGGTGGGCACAGTGTGTGGATGGCAGGCAGCTGTGCCTCTCCAGCCGCGTGAGGCATGGGAGTCAGGCTGTTGTTGGCAGCGAGGCAGCAATGTATTTTAGACAAATGCTAGTCTCCCAGAAAGCTGCCTGGATGACAAAGTCACAAGATTAAAAACAAAAACACCACAATTGCCAAAATAAAAAAGGGGGGAGGAAGCACATTTATTTTCCTGGTCATGAAAACCAGGGAAGCAAAACAACGTTTGAACTTAAGCTAAACAACGTCTTTGTAACTCCATCCACCAGAGCTACCTCTGTCCTGGACACAGGTCAGCACCCTGTATTTTTGAGAGACCGGGAGGCTGGCAAGTGAAAGCCAACTTCAAGTTCAACCTCAGTGTAGGCTCTCAGTCCCTTTGGAATTTGCCTGCGGCTTGACTAGACAATCACGGGGTGAAAAGGGCGCCCTCTTCTCTCGTCCAGCTTGACTCAACCAGGAAGGACCTTACTGGTGGGTGGCAGGCGAGCAGCCTGTGACTTGTCAGGCCAGAGACGTCTGGCAGCAGCCGAAGAGGTCAGGGGACAGACCACAGCAGGTGGAACCCCCTGATGATAGCAAGGGGATAAGAAAGAGACCCCTCCCCCCGAGTTGCTACCATTCCCTCCAGCCCGTGGAGGCCTGGGCATGGCCCCCCACATACAGAGTACAGAGCCACGTGGCAGTGGGCACAGCTACACGCAAGACCTCAGCACTGACATGGGCGTCATAGCCAACAGCAACGGGGAGGACAGAGTAGTGTAGTGGCTGCCCCACCCAGGGGGGAATTGACAGGTATCAGAATGTCAAGGTGGGTGAAGAGGGGACTCAGCAGAGTGGCAGGGTGGCATTGAATCGTGGTCCCTGCTGGGCTGTGACATTGGCTGACATTGGTCAGCACACAGGTCCCATAGAGGCCATACAGAGGCCAAGTTAGCTGCAAGCCAAGCTGTATGTCATCACACTAGGTGTGTGCCTGCTAAGCGCACAGTGACAGGTGACAGTGGAGGCTGCAGAGCACCTAGTACTGGCTGTGTCCATGCTTCCACTGCAGGCCAGGCTCAGAAGGACTGGACAGTGGTCTAGGGAGGCCTGGTACTAGGTGTGGAGGGTTGTGAGGTTTTTGTGTCCCCACAGTGAAGGAAAATGGCCCAAACTCAGGGGAAAGCTAGTAGTGTAGCATCATGCCTTCCGGGGTGCCCCAGGGCTGGCCACCTCAATCCTCGCAGAAAGGGCCCCTGGACACAGCCTCGGGGTGAGGGCCCTGGGAGGGACAGTGTCAAGGTCAGGGGACAGCAGAGGCCAAGGCTGCATGGGAGTGGAAGTGGACTGTTGATCACTGGCTACCCACAGCTGGTGTTGGGCCTCACCCTTGCCAAGCCAACCTTCCTCATTGTTTCTTGTTTCCAAAGACTCAAGCACGCACTGCCAAAGTTCTGGCGTGTTCCCCAAGGAAAGTGACAGTAGCTATTAAAGTGACATGCAGCTTCTCTTAGGGGTCTCTCGTGACCTGCTGTGTCCCCAAAGGCAGCAGGACAAGCTGGGGCCTCATGGCGCCACAGTCCAGCACTTGCATATGCACACACACACACACACACACACACACACACGCATACTCTCACACATAAGAGGCCAAGCAAGGCCTGGGGTTGGCTAAGCTAGCTTGGGCTTTAATCCGTACCTGGGGAACTGCCTGGAATTTAACCTCCCGCACAGTGCCACCTCTCCCCACGTAGGCTTTCATGTCTGTGGGGACCCAGGCTGTGCTAGCATCTTCTCTTTGCAAGCATGTGTCAGTCTTCGGCCACCTAAGAGTAGCGAAGCTGATGTTCTGAGACCTAAGTGAGTTGCCCAAGACCAGGCAGCACTGTGCCCTCTGAGAATAGCACCGGGAAGTAGAGAGATGCCCCCCATTTCCACATACCCCTGTGCCAAACACAGAAAGTAACAAAAGGTTTATTGTTACTATTTTTTAAAAAGCCAGGTCCTGAGCAAACCTGCCACAGCATTGCAGCCGGGGCTCAGTGGACATTGGAGAAATCCAGCACCTTGCCGAGGAGACAGCAAAAGTGCCAGCCACACGGAGGCAGGGTGAGTGGGGGTGGGCTTTTCCTGGCTGACACAGTGCAGGCTGCTCACACTGGTCCCTGCAAACTTCTCACAAGAATGACCCTGCCCTGTGAGTGGACAATGGAAGGGCCTCTCTCCTTGCCAGCATGGGCCAGGTGGACGGAGCTGCTGGCTGGACCACAGGCTGCTGAGAGCCACATGTCCCACATCCTGTGAAGCTTACACAATGTACAGGTTTAGGGGTACACAGTTGATCCCCACGGGGGCCCCCAAAAAACCTGGTTATGAAGGAACTGTCCACAGCAGGAGGTGCCTGCCAGCTCAATGTATGGCTACTTTAGTGGGCTGCATCCAACCAAGCCTGGCGTGACCTGATAGCCAGGCCAGCTGACAATCAGGCAAGCAGTGGTGCCGTAGTTCTTCCAGCGGGGTTCCGGGGTCCCTGGATCTTGCCAGAAATGTGCCCAATTCGGTCCCACCGGAAGCCTGGGCGTTAGTGCAGCCGCAGGTAGGGGGGCGCGGAGTAATTGAAAAGCAGGAAGTCCATCTTGTAGAGGTCGAAGAGGCGCCTCTGGTAGAATGGGCTGATGTCCCGGAAGAGGAGCGCTGCGTAATCGCGCGCCGCCATCACAGCTTTGGGCCTCGGGGGTGCGGGGAAGCGCAGCCCCGGCTCGCCCGCCAGGCCTAGCACAAAGGCCGCGTCCTCAGCCAGCGTCTCGAACTTGCCCACCACGTCGTAACGCAGGCGGCACGGGTGGCAGAGCGCATGTGCGCGCTCCCAGTGCTCGTTGAAGGGCTCCTGGCGGCGCGTGCGCGGGTCCAGCAGGTAGGCCAGGAACTCGGCGAAGCGCACGTCGTGGCCGCGCGCCAGCGCCTCCGGCCCGGCCTGGGGCCGCAGGCGGCGTACGATGCGCGTGCCATAGCGCCGCTGGAAGGCCGCGCTGTAGGGCCGAGCGAACTTGTTGCGGTAGGCGGACGCCAGGCGCTCGAAGGGGTCGCGCACGAACAGGAAGGCCAGGTAGGTGCGAAGACGCCGGTTGATCTCGGCCGGGCTGAAGTCGGCCAGCGAGGGCAGGCGGCCGGGCAGGTGCGCCTCGTGCGCGGGGATGCCGCGTGGGTCTCCGCGGGCGCCGCCACTCAGCGTCAGCAGCACGCGCTTCCAATTGGTGCAGGCCACCTTAGGCACGTAGCAATAGAGTAGGCCGTGCGTGTCATCCACCAGCACGTGCCTCAAGTCCTCTGGCCGCAGCAGGCGCTGCCGGCGTGTATGGCGGCTGCAGGCTCGGCGCAGCTGGTCGCGCCGCTGCCGGTGCACCTCGGCCAGGGGCGAGCGCAGGCCCTGCGGGGCGAGACGACTGTGGGGACTCTAAAACTTGTTGGCTGATCGGCAAAGCTGAAAGAAGGCTCCAGCTTGTAGGCAAAGAAATGCAGGCTTCCAATTCTCCTGGCCTGCGAGCAGGGGCCGGCTTAGGAGGCCGTGTGTGCCAGGGACCCTTAGACCGTCCACGTGGATGGCTTCACCTATGGCAGCCAGCCATGGTGACAGTTTGAAAAGGTGACGGAGCCATCTGGTGAGGCACCATCCCTGCTGACTGGTGGCTGCGGGGTCCCCAGCAAGCAAGGCACCCTCTCTGAGCCAGGGCCTCCCCAGTTAGCTCCTCGGGGTGTGGGTCCAGCTCTGCCGCACTCAGATCTTTCTCCACACAGCAGCCCGAGGATTCTGACAATGCCACTCCTGCTTAACTCTACCCCCATACATGGCTCTCTACTGTCCCTGCCACATCTCTGGGGCGTGCTGGGTTGCTGCCAGCCCCTGCAGATCAACCCACATGCCCTCTTCTGCCCTCCAAACCCTGCCAGGCCCATGGCACCACAGTTTCCTCTGCCTGCTTGACCCCTACTGTCTTGCCCTTGATTGTTGACTTGAGGCCCCAGCACCAGGGATGATGGGACAATGGACCCCGCTTCTGACCCTGCCACCCTGCCATGGGACTGTCAGTTTTGTAAGGGCAGGAGCCCAGGCCACCTGCAACCACCAGATCTCAGCATCCTGAGCATGCAGTAGGCGCCCAGTGCATGCTGTCTGCACAGGTGCTCCTGTGTGCCTGGGTGTGCAGGCTCCCCCTGACCTCCAGTGGACTTTCTGACTGCATGGTAAGCTGGCAATGGGGGTCTTTCCTGGGAGGGGGATGGATAGTCTGACCCTCACCCCCTGGGGTCGTGGGGGGACACACCAGTGTGCTGCAGCAGCGTGTAGTGCTGCCTGGTGTAGGGCAGAGGGCAAAGCTTGCATTGCTGATATGATGATGTTTTCCACTGGGATGGGTGATCAGGCCATTCCTCCCACGCCCACCCAGGGTGCTAAGAGTGTCCATTCCGGTGTCTGTGTGTGTGTGTGAGAGAGAGAGAGAGAGAGAGAGAGACATGGAGGACCTAGCAGACATTGGAAGTGGGGGCAAGCGAGTCACCTGGGCCCTGTGCTTGAGGCTCCGTGGTGGTGGGGCAGCCTGCACATTGCCATGTTAGCTCAAGGTGCTGAGGTTACCAGGACCACTGTCCTCGCACTGAGGGCAGGCACAGGGCCTGGTTCTTGCAGTGATGACGTCAGGCGCAGGGTCACACAGTGTGGCCACAATCTACTATGAATGGGGAGGGCCACAAGAGTGCAGATGGCTGGGAACTGCTGCTCTCTAACATTCATCCCTTGGTGTTGGTGTCTGGATTGAGGCTATAACTGTAGGAAGGCCCAGGATGGCCAGTGTGGGGTCCAGACCCACAGCAGGTGAGTGCTGGGGCTGTTGGCTCCCATTCCTGGGAATCTGCCAGTCCACCTACCTGGTCCAGGTCATGGAGCCTTTGCAGAGGACTTTTCCTCCCTCTGAGCCAGTTGGGGCCCAGGGCCCTGCTCTCCAATGCTGTAGGGGGGGGGGGCAGAAGAGAGGTGCCAGTCAGCCGGTAGGGCAGGTGGTTCAGCTAACCTGCTGAAGTCACCTTTGGCCCCTCTGTGTCCACCCGGATGCAGGGGGGCTTGCTGGAGACAGGGAGGACTCTCCACTGGGGCAATATCTTTGGTGCCATGCCTGCCCCCATGTCCTGCTACCGAAACTGCAGGATGTCAGGCAAGAGGAACCGAGAAGAAGGAAGATGGCCCATAAACCACAGACCTTTCAGAAAAGTTCTGCCTGTCACCATCACCTGCTTCTGTCTGTTCTTGTCCCGTGCCCTCCCACCACGCCAGGCCAGGCCCCTCCCCGCCTCCAGGATGTCCACTGGACTCCGGCTCAAGGCTCAGGGGTCAGTGAATTCCAAACACTTGAATCCATCTCTGGGCTCCACTTCCTGCCTAAGGCACAGCCATTTCTGCTGAGAGACTGTGGGTCCTTCTCACCTTCTCACACATGAGGAGGGTCCCCCTGGCTGGGGTCACGCAGTGCCAGCCATGCTGGGGCCTTAGAGATGCAGGTGCCCATGGGTAAGGGTCAGGAGGAGGCAGTTCCCCCAGGTCCCAGGGCTTGCAGGCACCCAGCCTTCCAGAAATATCAATCTTGCCGAGCGTCTTTCATTCCTGGCCAGGCATAACTTGCAGGAGAGACCCCTCCCCACCACCCAAAAACTGTTGGTGGGGAGGGGGAGGGGGAAGCAGGCCCTGAGAGGCCCAGAGTAGCTGTTGGCAGTGATTACAGGGCTGGGCTGCCTCAGGCAGGCCCTGCCCTTCCTGCCATATGGATGGAGGATGGAGGGTGGGCAGGCCAGTTAGGAAGGGAGAGCCGTGGGTGGAGGAGTGTGGGGAGGGGGGCTAGCATGGAGATGCCTGGGCTCAGGACACCTGGGAGTGTCCCCAGCCCTTTAACGCCCACTGTCAGTGTCCCTGGTGTCTGGCCTGTGTCCTTCAGGGCTGCACTTCACGTCCAAGGTTCCAGGGCTGGGAGCTTCCTGGTTGACATAGATGTGGTGAGCCAAGGAGAGTGGCACTGGGCTGGGTCTGAGGGTGGTATAGGAAGTGTCTGCGGCCCAGAGGGAGTCCCCCAAAGATTCAGAGGGGAGTGGGGAGTGGGAAGGTGCTTTGTATACACTTCCCCATCAGGCTGTGCCCCCATTTCACAGACAGGAAAAGTGAGAGGCAGAGAAGCTTGCCCAAAGCCTCACAGTCTGCTTGCTGTGCCCGCACAGAGTTGGAGCCCAGTCCTGCCTGTGCCTCCATCCCTCCTCCACGCCGCCAGGCCAGTTGTCTCCATGGCAGTGTGGGTGCCCTGGGTACAGTGCCACCCCCAGAGGGGTGGCAAGAAGGTGACCAAGAAGGATGGCATGGTCCTTGGCACACCCACTGACTGTACAGGGTAGCAGGGCACAGGGGACCCCTGCGGGGTGATGTTCGTCCCACACATGCCTGGTGCAGCAAGTTGAGGTTACGCCATGCAGCACCTGGTTAATAAATTGCCACTGGTCAGTGTTGCAAAAGCTACTGTAGCCAGGCTGACTCCATGAGGAGCTTTGTGGTGGGGCCTGTGCTCCAGGGGACTTCCAGGGGGACCTTCCTTCTGGTGACACATGGGACAAGCACATGGGACAAGCACATGGGACAAGCCCTTCATGAAGACAAACCAACCGCACCCCCAGATTTTTGGGGGGGACTGGAAATTTTGGGTTAATTCAGACCCCACCTGTGGGACTTCACCACCTGTGCACAGTGGAACCCTGGTCAGCCCCGGGCAGTGCTTGGATGTGCATCTATCCGCTTTTGCCCTGCAGTGATCGGAACTCCACTTCTGCCTCCCCCGGCACAGTTAGCTGTGGCCAGGCCCCAGCAGGCATCCTGGGATGAGGAGTTTCTTACAGGGTCTGCAGGGTCTGTCCCCCTCCCTTCCAGGGACACGTGTCTAGAGAGTGCCAGAGGCTGCCAGTCACAGACGCTATGGAACCACACCCCAGACTGTGCCGGGGGACACACAGGGTCAAGGTGGGGTTGGGCATGGGTTGGCGAAAACGACTTCAGCTCCCTCCTGTGGGCTCCAGGAAACATCCAGGTATGGCTGGTTGGGTCCAGCCTCAGGGGAAGATGTGCCAGCCACTCACCTGACCCCACCCTAGCCTCATCCCAAAGACCAGAGGAGACCATGGAGGGAGGAACAGAGCATGGCCAGCAGAAGGGGATATTCAGCCCTTGCCGTCCACAATCTTATTGAAGTTCCTCTTCCAGCAGCCCTATATGTAAACACTTAGTGTTCCATTTTACAGATAGGACTGTTGAGGCCCAGGGAAGGGAGGGGGGAGGCTGATGACCCTGGCTGCTGCTGCCTCCCTTCCTGGGCCTAAGTCACCACCATGTTTCCCTTCCCCCCTCCTACCCCTGCTAAGACAGCCTCCTACCACTGCCCAGGGCCCGGCTCACCCTGGGGCATGGTCTCATGAGCTGGGGCCGAGTCTGAAGGATACAAGGGTGGCACTGGCCCACTGTGAGGGTGGAGGAGTGGACCCCCAAGCCCATGGCTCCCTGCACACTCACAGGGAGGGTGGACAGGACTGCAGTCCCCACCCTGGGTGGCCTGTGTACCTAGCACAGGAGGAAGACCCAGGTACGCAGGCTGCATGGATGGGCCCAATGTTGGGGGAACCTGCAGTGAAGGGTCAGATCGCTGGAGCAGAGCAGGGGGCGGGGGAGACAGAGGGCCCAGCTGCCACTCACCTGGATACAGGGCGCGGGGTGCCACGCACAGGAGCAGGAGCGCGGTGCCCAGGCACGTGGTCGCCAGCCAGCGCCGCCGGGCGCAGCGCTTTCCCATGCTGTGCAGGCGCGCAACGGTGTCGCAGGCAACTGGCCAGGGGGAGCGGGGCCCGGCCCCCACACAGGACCCGCCCTTCGGACTGGCTCTGCCTGTCCCACCCCTCCCTGCGGGTGGCGGTGGACCCAGGCGCCTGGCTCGCCTCGGGAGTGGAGTCTGAGGCGAATCCCTGCCGCCTGCTGGTGGTGGATCTGTCTCCCTGCCCTGCTGGATAGAGTCGGGCGCCACTTGTGCGGGGCAGAGCGGGACTGTGACGCTCCTGGGATCTGCCCTCGTCCGTGGGGAGACGGGGGAGGAGCAGGAGTACTGTCACATGGCCAGGGTGGGGGGCACTCCTGGGCAGTGCCCCTTTCTAAGCCAGGTCTGTGGTGAGCCAGGGCATCCAGTGGGCCCTGTCCCACTGCTCCCCCAAGCATGTCCCCTTCTCCAGGCCCTTCTCTCCATTGGCTCCAGGTACTGCCTGAACCCCAGGTCAGGAGCAGCCAGATTCTGGAAGGAAAAAATAGGGTCTCCGGGTCACCCTGTACCCTGGGTCTCAGGGCTGTTATCTTCATCTTACCCCCCAGGTAGTTGCCTGCACTAACCTGGGGGAGGGGGAGGGGTGCTGTCAGCACAGATAGGACAGAGTGAGAGTAAAGTCCAGCTTTGAAAGATAAACACAGGTGGCCAGCCTGGTGGAGGTGGGGATGGAGAGCCCTGGCCAACCCCCAGGGTCGTGCTGCCCAGAAGTGGAGCCGCAGGGTCCCCCAGCAGGCAGGTGGTTGTCCTGGGTGTGTGGAGGTGTGCCTGTGAATCATGGTTGAACAGTGGGGGTGTGAAGAGCAAACCCTGCCTTGAACTCTGGCTGCTCTTGGAACATGTGGGGACTCCAGAGTTTGCTGCTGTCACTCACGGACTGTGGGCTGGGGAGAGCCTGGGCGCTCTGTGTACCAGCTCTGTGCGCAACTTGTAAATATTTGGTGTTCCTGATCGTTTCACGGCTACTGCTTGGCGTGTGGTTCTGGTTCCTCTCCCACTTGTGCCGTACAGAAATTCCTTATGGTTGCATTTGTGGAAGTTTTGGGAGCTCTACTTAGAAACATTGAGCAGACAATAGCTGCAATGGCTTCAAGATGAGACTTTAAATGGTAATGTGGCAGAGGAATAGGAAACCAAGCTCCCAGAGATAGGAAGGTCCTCATGGTGACTTTCCCGGCTTTGGTAGCCTCCAGCTCATCCCAAGCCTGGTCATCACGTCCATGCTGGCTCCTGGTCTCATCTAAACCTATGTTCCTAAGCTCCTACCAACCCTCCCTCTCTAGTCCCCGGCCCTCCGTGCCAGAGTCTTGGTCCTCTTGTCTGCCATCTGGTGGCCAAAATTGAGTATAGCGTCTCAGGCCCACCTTGCCAGAGCCGGGCCTGGAAATAGGCAGATCTCAATGTGTGAGGGTGGAGAGGTCTGGCTACGGGTGCAGACCCCATTAGGAGCTCCCCCGAGAGAGAAGTGGCTCCTGTATCCTGCTGGCCGCTCATGGGCATCGTGTCTGCTGACTCACACATCCACTCAATGCCAGCAGCTAAAACCCCTGTCCTTCATGGAGACTTTCTTATAGACGAGGCCTAGGAAATAGTAGCAAGAATCAGGCCACATGCCCCGTGTCCCTATGAAGGGAAGAGCTGGGGTGGTTGTCCTGGGGGAGAGCTGTTGCTCCCTCTCGGCTCGGCCTTGAACGGCCTCTCATAGTGGGGGCCTCCGTGCCCTATGTCCTGCCAGCACAGACCTTGGGCTGTCCTCAGACCCTCAGGGTTCGCTGAACCCCATCCTCAAATCTGAAATACTTCATGTGTCCAAAGGCTTTGAGGCTTTCGCAGAAGGCTCCTCATGCAGGCACGGCTGGGGCCGTCACGGCCATGGGTGATCCACGAGCTTTCAGGGACTCTGCGGCCCCAGCTCCACCCCCGACCCCCCATGAAGATTCACCTCCGGCCTCAGTCTTCGTGACGTGGGAGGGTGAGAGGACCAGGGAAACCGCCTCCCCCGCTGATGGCAGATGACGTCCCCCTGTCCGCACAGGCGCTCACGTGGCTGTCCGCACCTGAGCTTCTGACACTCCTGTCCCCCCCAGGTGGCTGCCCTCACAGGTGTCTGGGAGGGTGGGGGGTGCAACATCCTCCATGTCACAGGGCTCTGCCCCCTGGTATGTGTAACGCTCTCATGGGACTGCACAGAAAACCGTGTTATGGCCCTGCAAGCTCCCTCTCCACCACACCAGCTCAGCCCGAGCCTCCTGCCTCAAGTCCAGACTGTAGCAGCCCGCCCATCGGCCGGTGACGCCCCAGCCTGCCCCTCGGACCTGCCTGTGGCTCCTTCCACACAGCCTGGGCCCAATGAGGGGCTGGGGGGAGGTGGCCCTGGGGGCGGGAGGTCCCTGCCCTGCTAGTTCCTGACCGCTTAGTCTCTTCCTGACCTCCCGTGGTGCAGGGTGCAGGCCGCCACCTCCCTCTCAGTCAGGCATGTCCAGTCTCCATGCACTGTGCTCCGGCCTGCCCCTACGACCGCTCCCAGAAAACCGGGGACGGCGGGCCGGGGTACCCCATGCCCCGGTCAGGACCCCCGGCCTCAGCCCTGCTGAGCAGCAGGTAAGACATCAGCCTGTGTACCCCACTTCCTCACCCCCACCACCCTCCCCAGCCAACCTGTGCACCCCCTCCTCCCTCAGCCCCACCACTCTCGTGGCCTCCAGGAGCTCCTGGGCGCTGACCTGGCCACACTGGCTGTTCCCTGGGGGTGACTGCCCTGGGCTCATCTCTGGGTGTAGGATTGTGCCCCCCCCCCCACAGTACCTATTAAGGTGAGGCTCAAGGTCACCCAGACAGGAAGTGGTGTTGCTACAGCCACCTCCCTGGAGGGAACAGGCGCCAGGCAGGTGTGAAGTGCCCCAATCCCTGCCAAGTAAACTTGGCCCTCACCTTAGCCCCAGTGGACTGTGCTCTGGTTTCTGTTGCAAACGACCTGCCCCCTCTCCCTGACCCGGGGGCATTCATGGCTGGTGGGAGTTGGGCATGCCCTATCCGACTGACCCAACCTGGCTGCCCAATGCCATGGCGAGCCCCGGGGTCTTTCTCAGTTGTTGAGCAGTTTCCCAGGGACTTGTGGAGGAGCTTACGTGGACAAAAGCAGGTAACACTGCTCCATATCATGGGTGTCCTCCTTTCTTGTCCTCACTCGGTTACAAAGAGACAGTGGGAGAGGGGCTTGGGGAAATACAGGGAAAATTAACGAGGGGCTCTCCCCTATACTCCTCAGATAGAGATGTTTTTCCCCTCCCTGGCAAGCACGGGGACAGATGGGAGTGGCTTGCTGGGCTCAGGCCATTTGGGCCAGTTCGGTGCCAGCTCAGTGCGAGCTCAGTGCCGGGGGGGCCTGGTTAATGTTTCTGCCCCATGCTCACCTGCCTGCTGGGCACCAGTGCCCTGACCTTCCACCAGCCGGGAGGGCAGGGACTGTGTTGGAGGTGGACATGGAGGGGCTAGAAGACTGGGAAGCCCTGGGGGTGGTGCCAGGGTCGCTGCCCTCCAGCTGATCCCAGACACCAGCCACGGTGGCTTCCTGGGCAGCTGCTGGCTTTGTACCGTAACTTGTTTTCCGCTGTTGTGCTTTTGTGATGTGTTGCTTTGCCTCAGACTTAACAATTTCAAAGGCAACTTTACCCAGATCAAGTAGACTTGTCTGAAAGTCTAATTTCCCAGTCACCCTCACCTCCATCAAGTCTGCATGACTGTGTGTTTTGCTCAGCCTTCCGGACACAAGCTGAGCCCCAGGAGGTGTCTGTCTGTGCGTCTGAAAAAGACAAGCAGACAGAAGGACGTTCTGGAAGCCTCCTCTGTTAGGAGGTCCTGGTCAGGTCCCTCTCTGCCCCACAGCCTAGTCTCCGGGGCCAGAGGTGGGTCCATGAGCGGCAAGAAGCGGGAGGGACCGGAGGTCTGCCATCGTTGGGGGAATCATGGAAAGCCTCCTGTAGGTGGTGACATTGCCGGTGGCCCTGCCTGGAGCAGTAGGCTCCTTCTGAGAGGGCAGAAGCAAGTCCAGTGGGGAGAGGCCACCATGGATGTTTGGCCTGAAGCCCCCAGCCCTCGTTACCCCCCCTGTCCTGCAGCTGGCACTGAGGAACGCCCTGCGCTACTTCCCGCCAGATGTCCAGGAGCTGCTGGCCCCCGAGTTCGCCCAGGAGCTGCAGCTGTATGGGCACATCTACATGTATCGGTTCTGCCCTGACCTTGAGATGAAGTGAGCACTGCTGGGCGTAGTGCCCAAGGGGGCCCAGGAGGAGCGGGAGGGCGCCCCGGGGAGGGACCAGGCTGGGGATGGGGATGGTCAGCAGTGGTGGGGGATCCAGGCCCTGCACACAGAGTGGGAGTGGTACATTGTCACCTGCCAAGTCTGGAGCCCGGGAACGACTGTGGCCCCCGGTCTGGCCAGAGGGCGGCAGGGCACCTGACAGACAAGAGTCTAAGACCGGGCCCTCCCGGCCCAGGCTGGAAGAACTGTGCCTTCTGGGGTACAAGAGTATTCTAGTGTTCCATGGCAGATCTCCCTCCCTCCCCCGGCGTGGTCCCGAGGCAGTCTCCCGGCCCCTGGAACTCCAGCTGGGATTTCCCACTGTGGTGCACCTGGCATTCACAGGCCTTGTGAAAGCCTGTGGGGCTGGGCCTCACCCTGGCTTCCTCACCCAGCAGCAGTGGGCCAGGACCTCCCTGGGTGAGACTGGCACCCTGGTATCACTCTCGGTTGCTCCTGCACCAGTCCGAGGCCAGAGTGGCCTGGAGTCATCTGAGAGCCAGTCATGTCCCAGTCTCTGATCCTTGGGTGCCTCCCAGTCTGGTGTCCATGGTAGAACTGGTGCCCAGGGGTGTTTGTTGAGTGAATGGCCAAACACGTGAATATATGCTACCCAGAGGCAGAGCCTGAGGAAAGCTGGACACACTCCACCCCTCCACCCATGCAGGGCCTATCCGATTGATCAGTACCCCTGCCGGACACGGGCGGCCGCGGCCATCATGCACATGATCATGAACAACCTGGACCCCGCCGTGGCCCAGGTAACAGCCAGGGAAGCCCAGAGCTAGTGCAGCAGACTGGCAGGAGTTGACTGGAGATTCACAGAAAGTTACAAAGCTGGGACTGGGAGGCCCCTGTCCCTGTTCCTCTGCTGCCCCCTGGTGCTGGCATCATTTCCATAGCACAACCTCAGAACTAGCCTGTCCATCAACACCATCGTAACAGACATGTTTGGAAAAGTGAGCCCAAAATGAGCTTAATTCTGCATTTTGTCCCAAGTCACCCATGAAGTTCTGATCTTAAGTCTTCCACCTAAACGTCCTTAGGGAAATGTTTGCCCTCTCTTTCCATGCTGAGTCTTTGCAAGCGTGGTTGCTAGCTGCCGTGTTGGATCCAGCCACATGAGCTTGTTGCAGCCTTCTTTAAGTACATGGGAGGGACAGCCTGTGAGACCCTGGTCCCCTTCCAGCAGACCCAGGCAAGGGGCCAGGGGTCTGCCACTCCGCATCCATCTGTGGCTCCATGGCCCCTGCCTGGATCCTTGTCTCATATGCCCTGGTGTCTCCTGCAGTTCCCCCAGGAGCTGGTGACCTATGGAGGAAACGGGCAGGTGTTCAACAACTGGGCTCAGGTAGGTGAGCCGTGCGGCCTCTCCCTGTCCTTTCTGGTCCAGAAGGGACCTTTAGAGATCCCAGGTCTCAACCTCTGAGATGCCTGTTGTGCCAGCCCTGGAGTTGGGCTGGTGACCCTTCAGTTACAAGGATGGGCAGAGGTGGGGGACCACTGGGGGCGCCAAGCCCTCTAGAGCACTGTGGTGACCTGAAGGGACTGGATTGTGGGGCAGGGACCAGGGTGGTGGCTAAGGGGCCCCAGAGTGGCTCTGTAAGCCCCGTCTGTGGTCTCCCTCCAGTTCTGGCTGACCATGTCCTACCTGGCCAAGATGACGGAGGAGCAGACTCTGGTCATGTACAGTGGACATCCTCTGGGCCTCTTCCCTAGCAGCCCAGGTGCCCCTCGGCTGATCATCACCAACGGCATGGTGGGTCCAAGCGGCGGGCATCGCACCTGCCAGGGCTGGCACAGTGGGTTGGGCCATAGGAGCTGGTATGCTAGGGGCTGGGAGGAGAGCCTGGTGACCTGGTTCCCTTGTAAACCCAGCACCTCTGCCTGCTGCCTCCCTCCTTTCCAGGTCATTCCCAACTACTCCTCCAGGGCGGACTATGAGAAGCTCTTTGCTTTGGGGGTCACCATGTAAGTTACTGTTCTCCTTTGTTAATCGCCTTAGCCACACCTCACCCTAAAACAAAACGTCAAAGTTGGGTATAAGTTTTGAAAACTCCCACCATTAAAATGGAGTGCTGGGATTGGTTCCATTCTTTCATGTTCTCCAGCAGGTTATTTTTTATATATAAATTCCATGGTTTTTAGACATATGTGAGCAACACAGCATATGAGCATGATTTTGAATTCTGCCTCTCCCCCTATACCTGACCATGAGAGATGTCAACCTAAGAAAATTGGAAGAATCTGCGTGGTTCTCTACCACTCCACTTGCTTCACTGCGTGTCTGTGTGTGCCTTGGTCCACTCATTTTCTCAGCTTATTTCTCTGTGCCTCACAAAGTGAGTTGTAAATCTGACTGATTGGAATTCAGTGGTTTTGTTTTTCTTGAAGTGAAGTTTGCACGTGGCGAGACACACATTTTAAGTTTTAAAGTGTTTATTCATTTATTTGAAAGAGAAAGAGAATCTTCCATCTGTTGATTCAGTCCTCAAATTGCTGCAATAGCCAGACCCAAAAGAGCCAGGAACCCCCTTCAGGCCTCCCCTTTGGGTGAAGGACCCCAAGAACTTGAGCCAGTCTCTGCTACTTTCCCAGGCATGTTAACAGGGAGCTGGATTGAAAGTGGAGCAGCCAGGACTCGAACTGGCATCCATAGGGAATTTGGCATGCAGGTGTTGACTTAACTTGGCGTGCCATAGCACCCTCAGGCAATACATGTCTCAACATGCCCCATGTGATGGGCACTGCAAACTCTGCACCTGTGTGATTTCTAACCTCTGCCTCCACCCCAGAGAGCTCCCTGGTGCCGCTGTCCCCTGAGTGTTTCTTGCTTGACAGCTCTGCCATCAGGTGTGGTCATGGGGGGCGGCTGTGGTGGAGAACAAGATCCTACACTATCCCAGATCCTCCAGAGCAGGTCTAGCTAATGCTTGCCCACATGTGATCTGGAGAGTTTTGGCATAGGTGTGCCCAGTCACCCCATGTAGAAAAGGTGTCCTGCCAGCTCACGTGTGCCTCCACAGCCTGGCCCCTGGGCTGTGTGCCACAGGACACCATGCTTATGCTCCACCTCATCATATCCCGTCACCTGTCACAATGTATGGCACCTTCCCCTGTGCTTCCAGAACCTTCTCACGGTCAGTTGCTGTCTGTGTGGCCAGATATTCTTCAGCATGGCTGTTTTTTTTTTTTTTAAAGATTTATTTTTATTATTTTTTCATTGGAAAGGCGGATATACAGAGAGGAGAGACAGAGAGGAAGATCTTCCGTCCGATGATTCACTCCCCAAGTGAGCACAATGGGCCGATACTATGCCGATCCGAAGCCAGGAGCCTCTTCCGGGTCTCCCACTTGGGTGCAGGGTCCCAAAGCCTTGGGCCGTCCTTGACTGCTTCCCCAGGCCACAGGCAGGGAGCTGGAAGGGAAGCGGGGCTGCCGGGATTAGAACCGGCGCCCATATGGGATCCCGGGCGTGCAAGGAGAGGACCTTTAACCACTTGCGCCACCGCGCCGGGCCCAGCATGGCTGTTTTAAACAAGCAAATACACAACCATTTGGTAGAGAATAAAATTTGGTTTTGTCTTTCGGGGTAGTTAACCGTTCATTTGAAGTCTTTTGAAGTGGGATCCTGTCCCCGGCCTCAGCCCATGCTTGCCCCTCTCTCGCTCTCTCTGTGGGCAGGTACGGCCAGATGACAGCGGGCAGCTACTGCTACATAGGGCCCCAAGGGATTGTCCACGGCACAGTGGTAAGAGGAAAAGGCCCAGACCTCGCCGCGGTGGGTGGCTTGTGGCTGTGGGGCCTGGGTAGTGGCTGTGCCTGAGCGACCTCCTCTCTCTGCAGCTCACCGTGCTGAACGCCGGGCGCCGGTACCTGGGGGCAGAGGACATGGCTGGGAAGGTCTTTGTCACCTCTGGGCTGGGTGGCATGAGTGGGGCTCAGGCCAAGGCCGCCGTCATCGTGGGCTGCATTGGTGTGATCGCGGAGGTGCGCTGGCTGGGGATGGGGGACGCTCCTGTCTGCAGCCCTGCCTACCCCCTCCTTCCTTTGTGACTGGACCCCTCGCCTTCCTCCCTGGACCCTCCCCCGCCTTCCCCAGAGAAAGGTGACAGGAGAAACAGAAAGGAGACCAGGAGTTTTGATTAGTCACAACTGTGTGATTTGTCTTGCATTGACGTTACACCTGCACCATTTATACCCGTATCTCAAACCAACCTGCAGATACTTCCATAAAGAAGGTTTTGTTGTTTTGTTTGTGTTGTTTTTCTCATGCAACCAGCTATGCTGGCCCGGGTTCTGTAGTTCAGAGACGGCAGGGCCACATCTCTAGATTCCCCACAAGTGCAATGGTGCCACTCAAGCACCAGCCATCAACTTCTGAGACAGGAAGAAGCAAGGAGGGAAGCTGTGAGACAACTCTGAGTAGGAAAGCTCCATTCCAGGAACTCTTTCCTCCCAGGAGAGGGTGGAAACAGACCACAGGCTGCTGTGGTCGGCTGGGATGTGATGTATGTCACGGGGCTGGGCACACTGTCATTCTGAGGAAAACCCAGGCTGTGCTGATGAGGGGCAGGTGGCATGAGGGTGGCTCAGTGCCTGCCCCCAGACTGCGGGAAAGGCAGGGTGATCTCTGTGGAGGGTGGTGCTTTCCTACTGAGCGTGGCACCCTTAGGGGCCGTGCGTCACTGTGTGGCCTGTGTCTTGTGACCCCAGGTGGATAAAGCGGCTCTTGTGAAGCGCCACCAGCAGGGCTGGCTGATGGAAGTGACCGACAGCCTGGACCGCTGCATTGAGAGACTCAGGTACAGGCCCACGCTCAGCTCAGCGCGAGGGGATGTGGGGAAACCTGCAGAGAGGCCTGGGGAGGGCTGAGCTGCTCCGCATGGGCATGATGAACGCATGGCAGCTGGCCCAGGTGGGCACCACCCTCCCAGAGGTCATGCTATGACAGCATCACAGGAGAGAGGGAGAGACAACTGCAGACATTCTGTTCCCGCCGGAAGTCATCGGGTCTGTGCCCGTGGTGCGCTGATGTACGGCTCATGGGTGTCCTGTCAGTGTGTGATGCTCCCAAGCTCAGCCACCGTGTGGCCTCACAGAGCCTGTCCCGTGGCAGGTACACAGCTGCCCGCCTGTGGAGGAGGAGGGGAGCTGTGGAGTTGGTTCTATGTGCATATCTCCGTGTGTACACGAGTGTCCTCTTGTGCCTGTACATATGTGTGTGCGCGTGTGTGTACATGTGTATGCGTCTGCAGGAGTGTGTGTCTGTGGAGGGGAGTGACCCCTCCTTCTTCACAGTTTTGTTTTCAGCAGCTTCAGTTGCCCCCGGTGAACAGCATTCTGGAAATAATAGTTGGATAATTCTAGAAATAAAGAATTCTTCAGTTTCAAATAGCTGTAACTCCAGTACATGGTTATGACTGCTTGAGTTTCTCCCAAGTGGGTTGTTGTGCATCGCTTACTGTGCCTGATTAATAAGCTGAACTTGACCCTGGGGTATATGGGCAGCATGGGGCACAGCAGACAGGGTTCAGCTGCCAGGGATCTTAGCAGAGATCCTCCCTGAGTAAGAAGACACACACTGTGTGCACATGTGAGCATGTGTGTGCTTGCACGCATGTGCACACTACATGCATTGCTCATGTGTATGCATGTGTGTGCATATGTGGATTCAAGAAACCGAACAGCCTGGACAGGTGTGTTTCCTGTTGCCAGTCCCCTGGGAGGGGGTGGGTGGGGGAGAGGCTGTGGGCAGCTGTGAGCAGCTGTGGCAAGGTCCTCTCTCCTGCTCTGTATCCTTTCAGGGAAGCAAGGAAAAAGAAGGAGGTGCTCAGCCTTGGTTACCATGGCAATGTGGTGGATCTTTGGTGAGTGGCAGGTGTTAAGTTGGTGACCTCAGGGACCCCAAGACACCAGATCCTCTGGCAGAGGCCTCAATGCTAACCCAGCGGTTCTCTGTCTCTACCGTGGCCAATCTGCCACCTTGCCCAGGGGGACACAGACCTGCTGACAGGTATGAGGGTGGCACAGTATACTGCCACCCCCGCCACCCATCCTGCCTGGCTTCCCCAGGGAGCGCCTGGTCTATGAACTGGATACAACCGGGGAGCTCCTGGTGGACCTGGGCTCAGATCAGACGTCCTGCCACAACCCATTCAACGGCGGCTACTATCCGGTGCAGCTCAGCTTCCCGGAGGCCCAGAGCCTCATGGCATCTGACCCTGCTGCATTCAAGGCCCTGGTGCAGGAAAGGTGAGGGCAGCCCACACTGCTGCCCTGGGCAGCCTGACTCATCCTACTGTCAGCACTCCTGCTTCTCCAGTGGCCAGCTGTGCTGCCCCAGGCAGGATTACAGCCTCTCTGTGTATTTGCCTTTTCCTGTTAGATGGGATCATGGTTGGTCATAGGGACATGCACCCCTCCTGGGAAGGCTGGGCAAAGCCCCTATTTCCTAGTGCGACTCCTGGCCACAGTATCTTCTTTGAGGGTGTTTGGAGGACTCAGCAGGGCACTAGGGGCAGAAGTGGCAGGGGGTGGAGTGGGCTTGGAGGGGGCAGCCCCCCAAGGCCCCAGACTCTCCTTGGTGCCGGGATTAGAAGTCAGCAGCAAGTTGAATGAACAGGGAAATGGGAGGGACAGGCCGCTCAGGTGCCTCCCTGATGGGTGGAACTGACACCCCCCTTCCCCTGTTGCTGCAGCCTGAGAAGGCAGGTCTCAGCCATCAACAGACTGGCCCAGGAACACTTCTTCTTCTGGGACTACGGCAACGCCTTCCTCCTGGAGGCCCAGAGAGCAGGTGGGAGAGGGAAGGGACTTTGGGCCTGGGCGGTTCACACCTGCCCCTGCTCTGGGGTTCCCAGTTTCCCTTTGTAAGTTCTTCCCTCTCCCACTTCACATTCAGAGTGGAGTCATCCAGGTAAGGCAAAGGGAGACTTCCCTGTCCCTCAGCCCAGGCCTTCCTTCTGGTAGCTGGGCTTGCTGGTGGGACCCTCTCTGGGCCCCAGTGTCCCCACGTGCTTGATGAACATGACCTACTGTCAGGAGAGCAGGTGCAAGGCTCAGGTCTGCGCTCCAGTGCCTGAGGATGCTGCTGTCCATTGCTGTGATGGGAAACACGCTCCCCAGCTGTGGGGCAGGTGCCTCTGTCATTCAGGCCCTGCCCCGCCTCCTCCCTGGGATGGTGTGCCTCTTTCCCTTCACAGACTCCATGTCCTGAGGCACACAAATGGCCATCTGCCATCTCAGGCCATGTCTGCCTTCTCCTCCTTCTTTTATTTAAAAGGGGACCCCTCTGGTCCCTCCCAGCCTCCCACGGAGTTCTTTGTGGACCTCATGTGCTCACCTGGGGCTGATGCCTCTGTCTACAGGGGCAGATGTGGAGAAAAAAGGTGCCAATAAGATGGAATTCCGCTACCCTTCATATGTCCAGCACATCATGGGGTAAGTGACCAGGTAGCCACTGGTTCTAGGACACCCATTGCTGCCTGCATCCCCTGTTAGGGCCTGGGGCCCAGCCGTCCAGGAGGGCAAAATCTCAACCTCTGACTGCCACTGAGACCTGCTGGTGGCCTGAGACGTCTGGGCATGGGTCACAGAATTTCTGAGCATGGGACAAAGGAAGGAAGCCCAAGGGGCTGCACCCAGCTAACTCTTGCAGGTGCAGGAGCCCTGAGTGAGCCCTGGGCCTGTGCACCTAAGGTCACTGGCCTCAGGAACTTGCCACCTGCGAAGGCTGGTTCAGCCCCTGTGACATCACCCAAGGCCAGGTCCTCACACTGGCTCCTTTCTCCAAACTCCTGAGTGTCAGTGGCTGACCTGTGGCTGGCCTGCAGCAGCATCTTGAACAGCCTGCAGCCAGAGCTAGAGAGAGGGCAGGCAGAGTTCTGGAAGGGCCATGGAGGGTGGGGGTACTTGGAGGGCTGGGAATGGGCACAGGGGATCAGGGGTCCTCTGAACTCTGTCCATGTCGGGACTTAGGGTTCCCAGCCCGTGTGCTGGATGCTGACCTCGGTGTCACAGGTCTGTCCGCCTGCTGCACATTCCTGGCCTAGCCGGTAGGTGTGGGCAGCTGGGAGTGGCAGCTGAGGAGGCTGTGTCCTTGCAGGGACATTTTCTCCCAGGGATTTGGGCCTTTCCGCTGGGTATGCACGTCAGGGGATCCCCAGGACCTGGCCGTCACAGACCAGCTGGCCACATCTGTGCTGGAGGATGTCATTGCTGCTGGAGGTGACACCACTGGGTGGGGACACTTGTGGGGGTTGGGTGGTCCCTAGAACTGCTGCCTCTGTAGGCACAAGATGCCTGTTCTCCCTGGGATCCCACATGCCACTGGCTGGTTTGAGCCTACTGGGTTCTCAGCTGACCACACCAAAGGGCTCAACCTCCTGGAAAGCCAGGGGGAGACCTGGTCCCCAGATGTCATGCAGGTGCCACATGGACACTGAGTTCTTGCCCTCCAGAGGGGACCTCAGCTCTGCTACATGGTAATCACTGCAAGAGGCTCATGCTCAGATGGCTCCCAGGGCTCAGGAAACTGACATTCAGGCTGCCCTGGATATCCCACAGTCCCTCTGCCACCCTGTCCCTGCTGTCCCCCACGGCCATGTCCCCGGGAGTACACCTCAGCTTGTGTCTCAGGCTGAGCTGCCCCCACCACTCTGGGCATCATGACCTTTCACTTGTACCAGGCCCATGGAGATTTCCCTTAGGTCTGTGCCTCTCACGTTCATCTTGAGTTACCTCATGTGTATATGAGGCAGACAGGGAGACAGCCAGAGAGTAAGCTCTCAGCCAGTGAGTCACTGCTGACGTACCTCCAGTGACCACGGCTGGGCCGGGCTCAAGTTGCTAGCCAGAAGCACAAGCCAGGCCCCCCGAAGAAGGGGCAGATACCCAGGTACTATGCCATCCTATGCTGCCTGCCAGGATCTGCACTGGCAGGAAGCTGGAGCCAGGGAAGACCCCCAAGCACATGTCCCCAGCACATGGGCACCTTAACCACAGTCTTCGATGCTGGGTCTGAGTCCTGTCCTGTGATGACTGCCTGAGCCTGCCTGACCAGAGCCTGCTCTAAGTGCATGTATTGGACACTGTCCATCAGCCTCGGGGGAGAAGGCAGTGCTATGACAAAACTTCCTCAGTTGCTGGAGCCCTTGCCTGTCCCCACCATGGCTTTTTTTTTTTTTTTAAGATTCATTTATTTTTATTGGAAAGACAGATTTTTACAGAAAGAAGCAGAGACAGAAAAGTCTTCCGTCTGCTGGTCCACTTCCCAAGTGGCCGCAATGGCCAGAGCTGAGCTGGTCTGACCTGAAGCTGGGTGCCATCCAGGTCTCCCATGTGGGTGCAGGGTCTCAATGCTTTGAGCCATCTTCCACCACTTTCCTAGGCCATACTCGGAGAGCTGGATGGGAAGTGGAGCAGCTGAGACATGAAGCAACACACATATAAGATCCTGGCACTTTGCTAGGGGAGGATTAGCCAAGTGAGCCATTGCACACTCCCCATTCTCCCCTTCCCCTTTCTCTGGGGCTTTTTGGCAGGTCTAGAGATACCCTCCTCTGGACCTGTCCTTTGACCTTGCTGTCCACTTTAAAGCCAGTTGCAGGTTCATTGGGCTGGGGTGGGGCTGGAGAACCAGGCTGAAGTTAAACAGGGCCACCTGCTGTGGGCAGGAAACCTGGGGCAGAGACCCTGCCCACAGCAGGTGGACTGCTGGATGTTTAGCCATCAGCCCTCCTGGAAGAACCACTGGGCTCTTGCAGCCGTTGCTGACTGTGGCATGGGCACTGCCAACATGGCCTAGGTGGCCCTGTGTCTGGGACTGGGCCATCCAGGGAGAGGCCCACGCCATCCTGCGGCATTTCCACTGGACAGATGACCTTGGCAGGACAGTTCCCAGGAAAGTGTGGTAAAGTCCGAGGAGGTGATAGCCTTTGTGTATTCTCTTCATTTTTGACACATTTTTAAAAATATATATGAGTTAATTTCTTTAAAATATCAATGACCTCTATGTTAATCCTTGGCTCATAGAATTCTAGAACAAATGCCTTATGTGCTCTCAGGAGCAAGAATGGACTGGCTCCTGGGCACCTGGGCCTCTGCCTGCCGCCATACTCCTCCAGCCTGAGCCCTCACAGGCTTGTCCTCCCAGGATGGGCTGAGCCTGGCCCTGCCCCAGGGCCTTTACACGTGCTGCTTCTCAGCGTGCGAGTTGACTCTTGGCCCTTAGTGCTCAGTTTGTTAACCTTCTCAGACAGCTTTAGGTCTCCCCTCACCACACCCCAGTGATTTGTTCTCATCACAGCTACAGTAGCTGCCATTCCTGAGCCTGGCACGGTGTGTCTGTGCTCAGCAGGCCCTCTCGGAGGAGAGAGGGCACTACAGGGCTGCATGTGCCCATGCAGTCATTCACAGGACTGTTGGCATCTCCTGAAGTCAGTAAGGCTGGCATGGTATGGGGTGGGTGCTAGGTCCGAGGCATGGCTCCAGGGCAAGGTCAGGCCCTCCGGGTGGCAGGGTCGGGGGCTGCTGTGGCACATGACCCTCTTCTGCTCTCCCCACACCCCGCAGTGAGGCCATCTGTGAAGCTGCAGTACTTGGACAATATCCGCTGGATCCGAGAGGCTGCCAAGCACCGCCTGGTAAGGGCATGGGGCCAGGGGCCAAGAGAGCAGTAGCGCTGGGCGCAGGCCCACAGGGGGCAGCTGGAGGACACTCCAAGCCAGCGGGTGGAGTCCCAGCAACCCATGAGCACGGTGCTGGTGCCACACTGAGCATGCGTCATCCTGCCAGGCTGTGTGCTTAGAAAGGCTGCAGGTGCTAAATGGTCCCCATTATGTGTCCCAGCACTACCAGACAAGTTCAGCGAGGGGTGTGTAGCCTGGAGTTCGGGGGTGCTGTGGCCTGAGTCAGTCCATTGCCCTTCATCCGGTGGCATGGCAGGGGTGGCCCTGTGGAAACAGAATGCTCAGACTCTGGAGCAAGATCCACTGGGCCAGGCCTGGGTCCCTTGCCGTGTTCTCAGCCGTGTGACTCCGCCCCTCTGTCTGGTCTGCGGAGGTTGAAGTGGTGCTCCAAGGGGCCCTGGCCGCACGCGGACCGCAGTGTCTGGGTCTGAGCACGTGGCCCCGTCCCAGCCCACGATTGGGATCCTGCCTGTGAGAGCAGGACGGGGGCTGCTCCCTGCAGAGTGCTTGCCATCTGACGTGTGTTCAGGACTACATGCTGGGTTGGTGTCAGCAGCTGGGCCATCCTCAGGGGGAGGCTAAGGGCGCCGATAGGATGGAGGACAACAGAGAGGACATTTGGTACATGCATTTTCAGCTGTGGGCCTCGTGTGGCCCAGTGGGTCCTTGGCCTGGGGTGGCAGGGATCGACGGACAGCTCTGGTCTCCTGGGCTCTCAACCTTGAGCTGTGGTTTGCATTAATCCCACAGCCACAAAACCTCTTATGCCAACCACAGGCTCCAGGAGACCCCCTTCCCAGTGGGAGGAACGCCTGGGGCTCAGGGAGGCTGTAGCTGCAGGTGGGATGTGGGGTGGAGGAGTGAGCCTTGAAGGAGGGGCCATAGCATGTCTGTGTAGGGGACACAGAAGGAGGAGGCCAGGGTGAGCCTTGTGACATGGCTGCAGGGATGGGGCTGTGCTTGTCTTCATCCTTTGTCTTTTCATTTCATTTTTATTTCTTTGAAAGGCAGAGTTACAGAGAGAGAGAAAGAGAGAGAGAGTCAGAGAGACAAGGATCTTCCATCTGCTGGTTCACTCCCCAGTGGCTGTAATGGCTGGGATTGGACTATATTAAAGATAGGAACATAGAACTCCATCCTGGTCTCCCATCAGGGAGCAGGGTCCGAGGAGTCACACCATCCTTCCCAGGTGCATGAGCAGGGAGCTTGCCTGGAAGTGCAGCAGCTGGGATGTGACCTTCAGCCCCACATGAGATGCCAGTGTGGCAGGTGGTTAAGCTCCTATGCCACCACTGCCATGTCCCCGTCCCTTGGCTTGGTGATCACAGAAGGGAGTCTGTGTTAAAGACTTCTGTGCCATTTCTTCTCCTGTTCTCTCTTGACCAAGTTGGCAGCCTTGTCTCACTTCCTCCCCAGTTCTTCTACCAGTGCTGGAGCCAAATTGCGACATCAATTTACACTGGAAGTTTTACAAAACGGATTTGAGGAGCAGGTGTGAGTAAAATAAGAGCTGTGTGCTTGGAACTTGCAAGAAGAAGGAAGCAAGTAGACTAGCTATTCTGGCCAAGCCCCAACTCACCAGCAGATGCCAGGCTGCCTCCCTTACTGGGTCCTGCCACTTTTGCCCTGGCCCATGCCAGGCGGCTGTGGCAGACCCTACTTCCTTCAGGCAAACCATGGTTCCTATGCCTCCACACTGTTGACTTGTGGGCCAGACCAGTTGCTTACATTATAAAGCAAATTATTTTCATTTTATTTAGGGGTAGGTAGGGGGCAGGAAGAAAGAAAGAGAGAGGTCTTGCATCCAGTGGTTCACTTCCCAAACGTCTATGATAGGCAGGCTGGGCTACCTGAAGCCAGGAGCCTGGCTTCATGACCCAAGTACTTGAGACCACACCTGCTGCCTCCACGGTCCATGTCAGCCGGAAATCGGGTCAGTGGAGGTGAAATGGATCCCAGCCACTCAGGTATGGAATGTGGATGTCCCCAAGGTGCAACTTAGGCCACTGTACCCAACAGCTACCCTTATTTCATTATTGTAGTGTATTCATTTGCAGGGCAAAGTTACAGAGAGAGAGAGTGAGAGCAAGACAGAGAGGAGAAGCCAGGAACCTTGAATTTTATCCAGGACTCCCACATGAGACAGCAGCCCAAGCACTTGGACCATCTGCCACTGCTCTCGCAAAGCACATTAGCAGAGAGGTGGATCAGGAGCAGAGTAGCCAGGATTCAAACTGACACTCTGCCACAGGATGCTGACCTTGTAGGTGGCTGCTTAACCTGATGTGCCATGATGCCAACCCCTGGCTTATTTCTCTCAGCATCATATCCTCAGGGTCTGTTCATGCGGAGGTCAGAATGCCCCCCCTTTGCTGGGCCTTGTGAAGGATGGTGACCCCACATTACATGTTACCTAAAGTGCGTGCACTATGCCTACCCATGCCAGCAGTACCCTCTGGACCCTAGTCATGGCCGGATTCCATCCTGGGGCTAAGCAATGACTCATTTTCGATCACTGAAGCTTTGCCTCCTGGAAACAGGGGCCAGTGTCCTCAAGAGGTGCCACCCCCAGACATACAGACACCAGGATCCCAGTTCCAACCTCTGTGTGGGTTGCTCAGCCTTCCCATGCCCCTGTCTCCTGACCTGTAAGAGAGAGTTTTGGACGACAATGACATCGTCTTTCTTGGAGGAGTGACGCATGAGAACTTGTGCATAACAGGCGTGAAAGCCCGATTTGAAACCACGCCAGGTGGTGTTGGCACTGTGGCTGGCACAACGCTCTCCGTAGGCACCTCCTGTTCTTACACATTCAATTCATGTTGTTAACGAGCATGCTTGGTGCGGTTGGCGGTCCAGGGTCGCTTCCTCACCATTTCTTTCCCCACTCCGTCTGGATCCAAGAAATCTGGAAATTTCTGCAGCACTTAAAATTCCCAAACAGGAGTGGAGGCCAGCGGCATGAGCTGCTCCAGGCATGAGCTCGTGGAGGGGCGTTGGGGGGGGGGGTCCCTGTGTGCTTGAGGACACGTTGAAACTGATGAGCTTGAGATTCTGCCTAGGGACCCACAGCCTCGACAGTGGTCCTGCTCCCAGGGGACCCCCAAGGCCTCTCTAGGGGCCATTCGCTGACGACGGGACAGCAGTGTCACCCTAATCTCTCTCTTGTATCTCCAGTGCTTGACATGGTCCCTCTCTTGGCTGAGGCGTCTCTTGCCTCTCCCTCTGCAGGTGGTGGGCTCGCAGGCAAGGATCCTGTACTCGGACCAGAAAGGCCGCATCGCCATCGCTGTGGCCATCAACCAGGCCATTGCCCGTGGCAAGATCAAGGTGTTGTGTCCTCTGTGTATGTGCCTGTGTCACCGGCCCCCTCCTTAGACCCCCTCGCCTTCAGGCAGAGGGCCACTGCTGGTCTCAGCAGCTGGTTGCTGTGGGGCAGGGGGGTCACCTTGGGACCCAGGCTCTACCTGGGGAGCTGGGGAAGGAGGAGGGAGAGCACACTGGTGGGGAGCCAGCTGCCCCTCTGGGACCCTCTGTGTGTCACAGTTCATGGTGGAGAGAGTTAACTGGAAGCCGGGAGTGATGTACCCCATCTTCTGACCTGTGCCTACTGTGTGACCTCAGGCACATCAGGTGCTCTCTGGACCTCCGTGTCCCCCTCTGTGAAAACAGTGACATGAAGCCTGGACGCCATCATGGCACGTGTGCCCTCAGCTCTGCCCATTTCCTTCCGCATTAGCTCTGCCCTTTAACAAGGACACGGGTCTCCAAGTGCACGTGCTTGCAGGGCCTCGCCTTAGTAGGCTCCGTTTCTTAAATGGAGCCCATTGAAGCTTTTTTAATCAAGGACCCCAGGGCCACCACGTCACTTGACCTGGGGCTTGCACTGGGTGCTCTGTCACTTGGGGCGCTGCGTCTCCCAGACCCTGCCCCGAGCGTCCTGAGCTCTGTAGGGGAACAGAGACCGTCATTCACACTTATAGGAAAATCCAACTTGGTGTCTCCACCTTGTGCTCACGGCTGCGGATGGCGTCAGAAACGGCTGGCGCTGCCCTTGCTGGCAAGCGCCCATTTGCAAGGCGGGGAACCCCAAAGGCTCCGGGTTGGCCTCACCTTCGTCCTCTGTCTTCTGCCGGATGGCCAGCAGGGGACGCTGCCGGCCCATACCTACTTCCTTCCCTGCTGTAGGCGCCGGTGGTCCTGAGCCGAGACCACCACGACGTGAGTGGCACCGACAGCCCCTTTCGGGAAACTTCCAACATTTATGACGGCTCCGCCTTCTGCGCAGGTGAGGAGATGGAGTGTGGACTTGACATTGAGACTTCAGACTGATGCATTCTTTTAGACACAAACGTGAATCACACCAGGGAAGTGGCAGCAGGATGTAGGGCCGCCCAGCCAAGGGCTTTGGGGTTTCCGCCCGGTGCCCAAGCAAACGGGGCTGGCTGGTTAGGTGCCCTGGGCTTGTAAGTGGACTTGGTCCTGCCACTTCAGGCTCCAGGGGGAGAAGTTGCTGCTTTGCCTTTTCTAGAGTCTAGAGCCGTGTTTCTTGCATTTCTTGGCCTGGGACCCCCTCCCCACCCTCACCTCCCTGCCCACCCTCACCTCCCTGCCCACCCTCACCTCCCTGCCCTGGCTGACAGCAGGAGAAGGTTCTTAGGATTTCTCTGGTTGCCTCCCCGTGAGCACCCCATGGGCTTCTTGGTGGAGAAGCCTGCCGGAAGAGAGAGCACAACCATCCTTGTGTCTGTGTCCCCATGGGCTTTGTGGTTTCAGGCCAGCTCATCTTAGCAGCCTGGGCCCCTCCTGTCACTGCAGGTGACCTGTCGCAACCTCCTCTGTGTCACATTAGATGGTCAAACTGGGACCTAAGCTCTCTGAGGGGGTCCAAAAAGGCTGTTTATTTAAAAGCTGGTCCCTGCCCCTTTGGCTGACCCTGGAGCCAATGTCCCTTTCCATCTGTTTGCCCCGTAGCTGGCATTCTGTGCTGGGGCAGAAGACCTGCAGGGCAAGAGGACAGGCAGTTCGGCCCTTGTGTTCCAGCCCAGGTTCTTGAAGCACTAACCCATCCCTGGTCCCCCCACCTGCCACCTTTGCCCAGTCTGCCCAGTTCAGGGAGGGACTGACAGTGGTTCCCTGTCCCCTGCAGACATGGCAGTGCAGAACTTTGTGGGAGACGCCTGTCGCGGGGCCACCTGGGTTGCCCTTCATAATGGAGGCGGTGTGGGCTGGTAAGGTTTCCCAATACAGCGCCTGGGGGTGGGGCTGGGCCCGGGGGCTCTCTCCCCAGGCACCCCCTCCTTCAGAACAGCTTCACTCCCTCACATTCCCATGCCATCTGGGAGGCCGTGGGACAAGAGGGCATCCGGGGAGGGGGACCTTGCCTGTGCCCGCTCACCTTTCTGGGTTTCACACAGGACATCAGTGACATCCTTGTCATGTCAATATGGCTTTGTTTAAAAAATGTATTTATTATTTGTTGGAAAGTCAGATATACAGAGGAGAGACAGAGAGGAAGATCCTCCATCCATTGATTCACTCCCCGAGTGGCCACAGCGGCTAGAGCGGAGTCGATCCGAAGCCAGGAGCCTGGAGCCTCGAGCCTCCTCCAGATCTTCCACACAGGTGCAGGGTCCCAAGGCCTTGGGCCATCCTTGACTGCTTTCCCAGGCCACAGGCAGGGAGCTGGATGGGAAGCAAGGCAGCTAGGATTAGAACCAGTGCCCATATGGGATCCCGGGCGTGCAAGGCGAGCACTTTAACTGCTAGGCTATGGTGCCAGGCCCCAATCTGGCTTTTTGAAGCTCCTTTCTCGTTCCCACCCTGAGCAGGTCCCACCTGAGGAGCTGAGCTAGGGTGGGGTAGGACAGTGTTGGTGGGGGGTGCGGTGAGAGATCTCAGGCTCTGGGTGCCAGCGTACCTGGCTCTCAGCCTTACCCCCTATTCAGCTACATCCCCAGTGTGCCCTGTGAGTGCTGGTGCTGCTAGGGAAAGATCTCACATCTGCTAATGCTCATGTTACTGTTCACAGTGAGTAACTCACGTGGCAGATGCCTGCCAAATCCCCGTGTCTACTTTCTCACCTAGCCTCAGAAGGATCTGCCCCTTTCTGGGTCAGCCTCCTTGGGCAGAGGACACAGGGCTTCTTAGCTTGCTGGCAGATGGGCAGGGAAACAGGTAAAGCTAGTGGCCTCAGGAGTTTGAGTCAGGGAAAGCGGATTCACATTTTGGGCGTAGAAAGGAGAAAAAACAAGAGCAGGACTGGCAATATCAAGGGTGTTTCCTGGGTGTGTAACTGACAGCAGAGCTGAAGCTGGTCCAGCAAGCCCAGAGGCACAGCACAGACTCCCCTGGGTAATGACACAGAAGATGAGGATGGTGCAGGTGTCCTAGGCTGATGGAGAAGAGAGCAGAGTGCAGGGATGCCACTCGCATCCCCGAGGACATAAACTCAAAGGAGAACCTGCAGCATGCAGGGTCCGAACAGCAGAGGAGCTAGTTAGGAGGCAAGAAATCGTGAAACTAAAGGATCCCGGCCTCCAGTAACTAGGATTCCTAGGAAGATCCGGAAGTTATATCAGACGATGAGGGAGCGATGCTAGGGGGCCTCAAGGAGGTGTCTCTGCAGGATTGCACTCACAGAACTGGAGCTGGAGCAGACAGAGGCCAAGGTGGGCTGGTTTGTGGGTGGGCAGGCCTGAAGCAGGACATGACACTGGATAGGTCAAGGTGGACTGGCTGAAAGCTGAGCAACAGCAGGCAGAGGCCCGCGTGTGCCCCCTCCCTACCTGGCTTTTGTGTGTAGCAGGTCTGCAGGCTGCAGGGTGGGCCACACAAGACAGGTCTCCTTGCTGCCAACGCTTGCAAAACATTGTTTCCGTCTGCTCAGTGCAGAGTCGGCCCAGGGCGTAAACTGGAACCCTGTGCCGCCTGTTTGCAGGGGCGAGGTGATCAACGGGGGCTTCGGCCTCGTGCTGGATGGGACCCCGGAGGCTGAACAGAAAGCCAGGATGATGCTCAGCTGGGATGTCTCCAACGGCGTGAGTTGCCCCCAGCTTCCCCAGTGCCCCCTCCTGCCCCTGGGCAGAAACGAGACCAAGTTCTGGGCATGCTTCCTCCACAGCAGTCAGAGGCTCCCACACCCTCCAAGCCCTGGCCTTACACCCTAATCTAGCCTTTGGCTGTCCCAGGTGGCCCTGTCCCTGTCCCCTCGCTGGATTTCAAAGTATCTTTCCACCTCTCTAAAGGCAGGGGCAGGTGGAATCCTGCCACAGTCACACTACAGCCACTGGGGGACCAGGAGATGATGGAGGTCAGAGGTCAGGGAGGGTGAGGAGGAAGGGATTTGAGGAGCCAAGGACAAAAGCCCATGAGTGGCTGGGAGAGTTCTGCCCACTTTTGCTCAGGGAGACCTCACTAATTGCCAAGCACAGATAGACTGGGGAAGGCTTGTGCATGTGTGGGCAGTGGGCAGGGGGAGGAAGGAAGCCTGATCCAGGAGAGGCCAGGTGGAGAGGAGGAAGTGGACTGGGGAAAGAATTGAGGCAAGAGCAGGCCCAAAGCTCCTGGCCCTGTGCCTCCCTGGGGGAGACGAGCTCTTTCTTGGAGATGGGGGCACTGGGGCAGGTGGCATATCCATCAGCTTCCGGTCAGAGAAGAGATGAAGTCGGGAGGGAGGGATGGTCTGGGCAAGAGAGGAGGAGGCCTGAGCTGCAGGTGGGGCAGACATCAAAGAGTGAAACTACAGATGACCTCCGAGGTCGCAAAGTGTATGGGGCAGGTGTTTGGGAGGCAGACTCCCAAGGGTGGGGTGGCAGGGTGGCGACAGAAGCTTAAAGATGACCTCTGAGGTCCCAAAGTGGATGGGGCAGGGTGTTTCCGAGGCAGAGTCCCTGTGGTGGCACAGCAGGGTGGAGGTGGGAACCTCTGGTGGTGGTGCCAACACTCCATGCTGCATTCCCCAGGTGGCCCGGCGCTGCTGGTCCGGGAACCAGAAGGCTCGCGAGATCATCTGTCAGACCATGCAGGAGAACAGTGGCCTGGTGGTGACGCTCCCCCACGAGGTGGCAGATGAGCGCCTGCTCCAGCAGGCCCTGCGGCCCTGAACCCTGGATCCCCTCTGTCCCCTCCTCCCAGCCCCCTCCTGGGCTTCAGCACCTGACATCATTGGCTCTCCCTGGGGTGGAGCCCCTGGAGAGGTACCTCAAGTGGCCCCATCGTAAAGATGAGCCAGAGGAACCCCGCAGAGCTGAAACCCTTTGCCCGTGACCTGTGCTCAGCCCCAGGTGGACCGGGGATGTCGTGGGCAGAGCTGAATCCTCCTCCAGCCTGTCATGAACAGGTGCCTGGAGGCTTTGAGGAATTACCTGCCTGGCTCCTGATTGAGCTGCACAGCAAGCAGGGTCCTCCTGGGCTTGTTCGGCCGGTTTGGTCCTCATGCTCCACCTCCCGCCTGCCTGTCCCTTGTCCGAAGCTTGCTCTCTATCCCTCTGTCTGGACAAGTACTGTCATCTGTCCTCCAGTGCCCCGGGCTTGGGGACACAAAGGGCTGGAGCATACCCTGGGCTATGCAGCAGTGTGAGGAGGAAGACAAACAGAATAAAGGGTGAAGAAGAGCTGTGCTGGCTGGCTGTCAGGCTGGGTGTGCAGACTGTAGTAATATCCCACAAGCCCTGCTTGGGACCTGGGGGTCCTTCGGGAGTCTCGTCATCCTCTGAGACTGGCACCTTGCAGCCCCCAGGGTCTGGCTCCACTCTTGGGTGTAAGGTCCTGAACAAGGCCCCTATTCTTGATTGATAGACTCCCCCTCTTACAGCACCCCCTTGCCTTGGGCCCTGCCTCTGCCACACCCCAGCAGGCAGGTCTCTGAGGGACTGCACGCTTATCCCCTGCTTTGAGCCAGGGTGGGGAGGAAGACAGAAGCATGGTGGGCCGGGGGAGGGTGGGAAAAAGACCACCCCTCCCCCCAGAAGCCCACCCAGGAGTGGGGACACTGACATCCTTGGGCTCACACAGGGGACGCAGGCCACGCCCTTTGGGGAGAGGTGAAGGAGGCTTGGCTGACTCTCCTACTGGTAGGCACGAACCCCCACCTTGTGCTAGGAAGCCAGTCGTTCATGTGTTCTCACCTACAGGGAAACAGCAGGGAATGGGATCCTGTGGCAACTTCACTGGCAAGGGCAGGGTAGCCTGGACCATGAACCCCATTTCTATCCCCCCTGCACCCTAACTAGGCCTTAACCCAGCCTAAACAAAAACAGAAGGAGACCAGAGTGCAGGTGTCTAGGGGCTGGATTCTTTCCCTCCCCCATCATGGCCACTTCCTCTTCTCCTAGAGGCCCCTCCCCCAGTCGGTTGCCAACACAACCCTGAGTTGCTCTGGACAGCCAGTGGCCCCATGGAAATACTTGCTTTTCCAGTCATCCGGCCTTGCCATCAGGCGTGACCCCTGGCCTCTTTCCGGCTATGAGATGAAGTGGAGCCAGCTAGGCAGGCCCCTGGGAAAGTGTTTCTGTAGCTCATGACTTTACTGAACTCTAAATGTCTGTAAGAGCCCCACCTGCAGACAGAGTCCCTTTGGAGTAAGGGCTTCACTATGTCTGTTTGGGGCACACCCTCAGGCCCTAACCACAACCACACCGTGACTATGACTGTGAAGACCATGGCCGCACAGGGAGGAGGGGGCGCCTGTCTGGAGCCCCTGGACTGACTCCAAGAATCCCCCACAAGCTCTTCAGGAGACCTCCCATGCCATCCAGCAGGCAGGGCCCCTCCGAAACACAGCCTTCATCAGCAAAGCCCCCCGGTACTTCTGCTTGTGTGGATGGTTTAAGTCCAGACTCCTCCATTCTCCATCAAGGACTGCCTTCCAGCATTTGGGACAGAAAGGGCTCAGTGGTCAGCTTCGGGCAACGTCCCAGGTGGGTTCCAGGCCCATGCCAGCCCCTCAGGCCATCTCTTGGCAGCACACCAAGCTAAGCCAGGAGGCCGACTACTTTCCTGGTGTCAGCCTACTGCCAGTTGTCCATCAGGGAGATGGGACAGCTGGCATTCTGGTGGGGTCACAACAGGGCAGCTGGCCACGGGCCATGGAGACTGGCTAGCACAGAGAGGCTTCTGATGTGTCCAGCTGAGGAAGACAGGAAGCTGGAGTTCAATTAGAAATGCTTTCACCAAAAATGGTTAAAATAGAGACCAGTTGGCCATGATGGCCTTGACAGTTGGATGCTGGGGATGTCACAGGTCAGACTTGAAGGCCTCTCCCTGAGCAGCCCCTGCTAGGCGCAAACCCAGAACCCCTGAAGCCCATGTACTTTCCTTGGTGGTAAGTCCAGATCAGAGAAGGAAGACTCAGTGGGGTGACATGCTCTCACAGTCTTGGCTTTCCTGGATGAGGCAACGGCCTTGAAGACCTGGGGGTCAGAGATGACCTGCAATTACATTACTTGGCCTATCCTGTTCTCACCTTTGGTGCAGTGGTTAACATGTTGCCTGGGGATTCCTGCACTCTGTATCAGAGGGCCTGGGTTTGAGTACCAGTTCTGTACTTGTACTTGAAAGAGTTACAGAGAAAGAATTAGAGAGAGCAAGAGAGAGAGAGAGAGCAAGCTTTCACCTACCAATTCACTACCCAGATGGCCACAATGGCCAGGGCTGGGCCACGTGGAAGCCAGAATCCGGAAGCTCTATGGGTATCCTAAGTGGGCCATCTTCTCCAGCTGTCCCAGACCATCAGGAGGGAGCTGAACTGGAAGAAGAGCAGCCAGCACTTGAACAGCACCCAGATGATGCTGGCATCACAGGCAGCAGTTTTGCCTGTGTTACATGACGCTGGCCCTTTGGCTCTGCTTCCTATTCCAGCTTCTGGCTAATGTGCCTTTGGAGAGGCATTTGGTGTCCCACCCTGTGCTGGGTACGGTGACACAGGGACTTTGATATACACTGAGACAAATCATGAAGTGGCCTTGTGCCTCCCTTTACCATGGCTCTGGCTGAGCCTGGATTTCTGGGGGTTGCCCCTCACTGGAGGACACCCCTGCTTGGTTTTCTCTTTCTCAGTCCTCTTCATTTTGCAGGGCAGGAAACTGAGGCACAGGCTGTGGTGGATTAAAGATGATTAAAAACAGAGCTGGCACCTGCAACCCCAGCTTTCCAAATGGGCGCTGGTTCATGTCCCAGTGGCTCCATTTCTGATCCAGCTTCCTATTGATGGCCTGGTAAAAGCAAGACCTCCTTGGGCCCCTGGGTCCACATGGGAAACCTGGATGAAGCTCCTGGCTTCTGACATCGCCCTGGCTCAGCTCTGGCCATTGATGTCATCTCTAGTGTAAAGCAGCAGACAGATCATCTCTATCTTCCTTTTTTTTTCTGTAACTTTCAAAACAAATGGATACAAAAAAAAAACACAAACAATAACAACACTCACCAAGAGGTGGAGCCTTGTTTTCCTCCTGGATGGATCTCTGCTGGCCTTGTGACCTGGACCGGTCAAGAGGGTGTGGCAGGGTCACAACATGGCCCCCAGAGATAAATGGCATCTATGGGCCTCCGAACAACTGGCCTGGGAGGACCTAAAGCAGCAGATTTGGGGGAGCAGCACACCCCACCAGTCTGTTTATTCTGTCTTGGGAAGGTGCAGGACGGGCTCTGTCCTCCTCCGGTTTCCTCTGTACTGTGAGACTGGAGGAGGTTGATTCTGCTGGGGCTCCTGCCAGGGCCTTGCGACTTCCCTCCTGCTCCTGGTTATGCCTGCTGCTCACATGACTCTTGGGATGCTGGTGTGAGACGCAGCGGGAGCATGTTACACTTCTGTCTACTAAACATCCCACAGAAGTTAACATACATGCCACAGAGCTAGCTGTCTGAGCCAATGTGAAGGGTGCCGTGGATTTGGGGACTTGAATGAAGCGCCTGTGTCACGGTGTGGCCATCGCATCGTCCAGCTTCAGAACATGTCACCTCCCCCTGCTCCCTTCCCCGACCCTGCCACCACCATGCCCCTTGCCGCTTCTGTGGCTCCAAGTCTCCTAGAAACCATTTGCAAGCAAACTTCTTGGGCAACTTGCTGCTTCCGTTAGCGTAATAGCCTCAAGTTGATCCGTGCTGAGCAGGTGTCAGGAGTTTCCTTCCCTTTTAAGGCTGAGGAATACCCCGCTGCTTAGACACCATGTTTTGCTGGGGCATTCCTCTGATAATAGACATCTGGCTGTTGGACAAACGGCTGCCGTGGCCATGGCTGTGCAGCTGAGTCCCCACTTTCAAGCTCTTGGCGCTGTCTTCCTGAAGTGGGGCGGCCGGGCCAGATCATGATTCTGTATTTAATTTCTACTTTTAGAGGCCATGTAAATGCTTCCCATGGTGGGAAAATACATACTTCCAAAATTTTTTATTTTCTCTTAATATTATTTACATAATTGAGAGGGATACACGCCTTAGGGGCCTCTGATTAGGGTGGGGTGGGTCAGGTATGGTGGAGGGTGGGTGGGACAAACACTTCAGTTTTTTTTTTTCTTGTGTCTTCAGAGGAAGAGTAGGGGAGAGGCCTCTCCTTGCTGTCAAACTACATCAGCAACCTGGGGATGGGGAACAGTCATTTGATGATGCCTTAGAGACCCCAATGTGGAGAAGAATGTTCTGTGCATTTTATTTGATTAGTTTTGTTAATTCTATAAAGTTGTTGGTTTCATTGCTCGAAGGTTGAGAAAAATCTTACCAAGGTCTGTTGGTAGACAAAGTCCACCTTAGTACATTCACAGTCCCAGGACATGCTGCAAAGCTGGGCCAGGACAATTGTCCAGACGGTTCTGCTTCCCTTCCTCTGATGAGGTGATTGATAGCCATGCTGCCCTACATGAGCAGGCTGTCATGTCGTCCGTGTGCGTCTGGACATGCTGTCCACTGCACAGGCATCAGCAACTGAAAAGGCCCAGGAGATGCATTCCAAGGTCAAACAACACAGCCTGTGACTTTTTTCCCCCAATGGCCGGGGTCTGAGTCCAGTAGTCCAGCTGGGGAGTCCCCCAAGAAGCCTCATCTGGGGTGACCTCAGGCATGTCAGCCAGGGCAGGGTCAGGTTCAGTCTGTCACTTGCCCCAGCCAAAGCACTACCTGCCAGTGGATGCAGATGTCTGCTCGGTTCTGCCCCAGCTCTGTACCTTATGCAAACTGATGGGTGCTGTGGCCCAGCACAGCCAGCCTGCCACAGACCATGCCCTCATGTACATGAGTGGGTGCCATGGGCGACTCCTGATAACCCCCACCAGGCCCATCCCCCGGTTTTTGTGTGTGCCGGACTCTACTGCAGTGTAGCCCAGCCCAGCCCCACATCCCATCCAGCTTTTGTATACACCCTTGCGTGTTGTGACTTAGCTCAGCCCACCCTGTCCCCAGACCTGGTCTTCAGGTATGCCAAAAAGTATGCCAGGTGTGCCAACCTTGTCCAGGTTGGCCCACCCCTAGCCCTGGTTCTTGAGTTCACCACAGCCTAGCAGGGGAGTGTCCAAAAATCCTTACTCATGCTTTAAAATAAATGCAGATGGCACCAGAGGGAGACAGCTAGTTGTCACAGGAACTGTTTCTTGTGCATCGTTCTAGAGAATGTCCAACCACCCGCAGGCGTGTGGCTGTGTGCATTTTTCCTTCATCACCAGATCGCCCTAAGCAAGGTCTCGATGGGCTTCGAAAGCATGTTTGTAAAGGAAGCATGAGTAACACAGGCATGGCTGTTCTGAGTACAATGACCAGTTTCTCATGGCCCCAAGACGCTGTGCAAGCGTCACCACTAATTCCAAATGACAACAGTCACCCGAAAAGGAGGCCTGCCGGTGTCAGCAGTCAGAACTAATCCTTGCCCCTCAGCCCCTGGTAACCATGACTATGCCTGTATGTGTTGACCTCTTCTAGGCAGTTTCTATAAATTAGTGCAATTATGTGCGATCTTTTTTGGGCAGGTATCTTCTCTGAGCATACTGCCCCCCAAGCACATCCATCATCCGTCTTGTGTCTTTCTTCTTCTTCTTTTTTTTATGACCAAAACATATTCCATCGGAGGGATAAACTGCAATGGGTCACTGCTGGTTATTAAAAATGTTGTTGTGAGGCCAGCGTGGTGGTGTAGCAAGCTAATTCTCTACCTGCGATGCTGACATCCCATATGGGTGCCAGTTTGAGTCCCGCTTGCTCCACTTCCAATCCAGCAATGGAAGATGTCCCAAGTCCTTGGGTCCCTGAACGCATATGGGAGATGCGAAAGAAGCTCCTGGCTCCTAGTTCCACCTGGGCTAGCCCTGCCTGTTTATAGCCACTTGGGGGAGTAAACCACTGGATGGCAGTTCTGTCTGTCACTTCCTCCCTTTCTCTGTAACGCTGCCTTTTAAATAAGTCTTAAAAAGGAAGAGCGCTGCTATGGATATTCACATACAGGATTTTGTGTAGACACGTCTTCATTATTCTTGTACATATACCCAGGACCTGGTGTTTGTATGAACCTGGACACGAACTCCAACCAGGTTTGCGTCTTCACGCCTGTTGCAGCGTGTAGACTGAATTAGCTAATATGAAAAGCAAGCAGGATGTAGGAAGCGCTCAGATGTTGTTTCTTGGTATCAATCTTTGGCTCCAAGGATTGAAAGCCACGTGGACCTTTTGTTGCAAGTGGGAAAATCCACTCGGGGGCGTGGGGGTCCCCACCCCGCGCCCCGCCCACGTCACGTGGGTCCCGGCAGACCTCGCGCGCCGCCCCGCGGCTCTCGCGCACGCGCGGCTGCGGGCTGCGGGCTGGGGGCGGGTTCGGCGCCGGTGACTACCGGCTGCGGGGCGGCCGCACGGTGTCCGGCGCTCGCTCGTGCGAGGCGGCTGGCTCTCCTTCGGCCGCGCGGCTCGAACGCCACCGCCGCCGCCGGACCCGACATGGACCTCCCGGTGCTGCTCCCCGCCCCTGCCGCGCGCAGAGGCCAATATGGCGGCGGCGAGCCCGGCAAGCTTCGCAGAGGCCCGGGGCCTCCCCTCTGCTCGGGCCCCGCGCGCCGCCGCCTCCTGCTCCTGAGGGGCCCCGAAGATGGCGGGCCTGGGCCACGGCACGAGGAGGCTCCGGGGCCGAGTCCCCCGCCGGCCGAGGACGGCGGCGACGCCTTCGTGGTGCTGCTGGAGGTGGCGCGCGGCACCGCCACTACCACCGAGGCTCCGGAGCGGCGCGAGGCCGAGCCCGCCCCCCGCTCCGCCGACCGAGCCGAGCAGGGCCCCAGCGGCCCGGCCGCCGCCCCCGCCGCCGCCGCCGCCTCCTCCGGCCCCGGTCCCGCCCTCGCGGGCACCGTCACCATCAACAACCAGAACCTGCTGGTGCGCTTCGACAACGGGGTCTTCACCCTGGCCCCCGCGCCGCCGCCCGCGCCCGTGCAGTCGCCACGCTGTCAGCCCTCCCCGGCCGGCCCGGCGATCGTGGTGAACCCAGCCGAGAATCCTCGCGGGGTCCCGGGCTCTGGCCCCGGCGCGCTGGGCTACCGCTGTCCCGAGCCGCAGTGCGCGCTGGCCTTCGCTAAAAAACACCAGCTCAAAGTGCACCTGCTGACGCACGGAGGCCTCCAGGGCCGGCGGCCCTTTAAGTGCCCACTGGACGGCTGCGGCTGGGCCTTCACCACCTCCTACAAGCTCAAGCGGCACCTACAGTCGCACGACAAGCTGCGGCCGTTCAGCTGCCCGGTGAGCGGCTGCGGCAAGAAGTTCACCACGATATACAACCTCAAAGCACACATGAAAGGCCACGAGCAGGAGAGCTTGTTCAAGTGCGAGGTGTGCTCCGAGCGCTTCCCCACGCACGCCAAGCTCAGCTCCCACCAGCGCAGCCACTTCGAGCCCGAGCGCCCTTACAAGTGTGATTTTCCCGGTAACAGCATGACACGAGTTGGGCGGGTGTGAGCTTCGTGGAGGTGGGGGGTCCCCAGCGGGCCGGGGTGTCTTGGTTGCCAGCCAACCCGACCTGCCAGCTAGATCGACCTGCAGGGGGACCGCCCGCCGGCGGCCGTGCTGCCCCGCCCTGCCCCGCCCATCCCAGCAGAATTTAAAGAATGGTTTGGCTCCAGTGTGTTTGTTTTAGTTCCTGCAAGATGATTGGGTTTGAGGTCTGGCCTCTGCCTTGTTGGGTTTTCTGCAGCGAGGTGGTACAGCTGTCCTTGCCAGTGGGGCGGCCACACCTCTTGGGCTGTTTCCCTTGAGTGAAAGTGAGGCTGCTTTTCGCGGAGTTGCTCCGAGTTAGGTCTCTTTAGCTTCCTCTTTGTCGTTTGCTAACGGTTGTTGGGCCATTGTGTGTTTCCAGGGGACCCACGCCCTGCCAGGACATAGGAATGAGTGTAGCAGGTGGAATGCCATCCTGCAGTGTGCCTAGCCAGTGTGGACATGGACGCATGCTATTCTGTTAAGATTCCTTGTTACAGGCTGTGGAAACCTAGGAAATTAGAGAGTAAGGTGGAGGGTGTTGACAGGGCCTGACCCTGCGTTCCCATGTGGCCGCTGGACTGTCTGGAACAAACCTGGGGAGAAGGCACTGGCTCATGGCCTCTTAGGGGGACCTTGGAGGCATGGCTGACTTGTGGGCTTCCCTAGCAGCAGGGGAGGACCAGTGAAGAAGCACCTCCAGGGACCCAGAACTGAGTTTTCTGAGGGTGTGAGCTAGGGTGTGCAGGGATGGGTGGTGAGGAAGGATCGCAGAGATGGCATCCCTGGGTACCTGTTACTCATCTAAGGGCAGGGTCTTGTGGAGGATGAGGGAGTTGGCTTCAGTTCCCAATCTCGCCAGTTGTGAGGGTAGACACCAGGATTGAGGCTAAAGTGGGTGGTTTTAGGGTGTTTAGAAAGATCCATGATTCCCAGTTAAATGTTGCTGGTCACAATGAGTTCCTTGGGCCGGATGCCTTAGGCTGTACTGTTCAGTGTTTGTCTTGGTGGCAAGTCACAGGCATCATGACAGCATGTCCAAGGCTGTGAGAGGAGCTGCACCTGGCATACCTGTTAACCGTGCTGTGACCTCCACTTCCTTCCCTGTTGGGACACTGAGGAATTCTGTGAAAGAAGTGCTGGTGTTGCAGTCTGGGAGTGAGAGCCAGGGGCTGAAGACAGCAGATGGTGCAGGCAGGGGACGCTGAGGAAGTGGGCCGAAGAGACAAGCAGTGGTAGAGGAAGGGCAGGCATTTAGAGGTGTCGGGGCGCTTTGTGCACCTGCTCCTGCCGGGGTGAGCGGTCTCAGCTGCTAGCATGGTTTGTAACTTTTCAAAACGTGCTCCTGGCTGACATAATCTTGTTTCTTAGTACTTCATTCCCCCTGGTTTTTTTTGGGGGTGGGCGTCTCAGATGAACTGCTGTGACGTCTGGTTTGTGGAAGAGCCACAGAGAGTGTGCGCTGTTAGAGCCTCAGTCCTGGGGAGTGGGGGCAGTGAGGGTGACAGGGGGAGGGACAACTTTGTCTTCATCAGTTGCTGCATCTCCAGGTTTTGGGCATGCCTGCCATCTCCTCTGCTGTAGCTGTGTTACGGACTCAGACTGGGCTGGCCCAGCCTTGGGCGAGGGCCTCTCCTCGCCTGCTTCAGCCGGGCGGCGGGGTGGGCGTGTGGTGCGGGCGTGCTGTGAGCGGCTTTGTTTCTCCTCCCAGGCTGCGAGAAGACGTTCATCACCGTGAGCGCCCTGTTCTCCCATAACCGAGCTCACTTTCGGGAGCAGGAGCTCTTCTCGTGCTCCTTTCCTGGATGTAGCAAGCAGTACGACAAAGCCTGTCGGCTGAAAATCCACCTGCGGAGCCACACAGGTGAGGCTGTGTGCAGGTAGCGCTGGCGGGGCCTCGGGCTGTCCTGTCGCGGCAGTGGCATTGGTGTTTATGCTGCGTGACGTTCTCTTTTTCAAGGTGAGAGGCCTTTTGTGTGTGACTCTGACAGTTGTGGCTGGACATTCACCAGCATGTCCAAACTTCTGCGGCACAAAAGGTGAGACATCTTTTTATGTTTTGGGTCTATGTTACCGGCTTTTGGAAAGCAGTGGTTTGTAAGGGGCAGAAGTCTGTGGATGAAAATATTTGTAGGTGTTACAAGTCATTAAAACAATGCCCAAGGTGAGAAAAATGAGCCAGGTAGGCAGCTACACATCACCTGAAGACCCCAGGGGTTGAGCTCAGCCTGAGCTGTCCTCAAGTGTCCAGGGGCCGCTGGGCACTTGACGTGTGGCTCTCACCCTTCATGGCCGTGCCAAGCAGGTGTGGTGATTCCTGTGCTTGTCTGAAGCCACCTCGCTGGCTGTGAGGGGTGTCTAAAAGCTGTTCCTGAAGGGGGTAACGGCCTTTGCCAGTTCCCAAAAGAAGGTATTGTTAGCCTGCAGCTGGGCCTTCTGCAGTTTGGAAAGCTCTGCTCCTGGGAACTCCTTGGCAGCCTCGCCCCTGCGCTTGGAGCTCCACACTTGGTGGGACAAGGCAGCATCACTTGTAGGTCTGATCCGCTGGCTTAGTCACAAAAGTAGTGTTTCTGGCGATAGGGAAGCTGTGCACAAATCTCACATGGACAGAGATGTTCTGAGCTTCCTCATCGCTTTCTAAGTGTAGAGTCTGTTTGTGGGTGTGTTTGGCACAATGTGAAACACGAGAGTCCCCTCGGGGCTTTGTGACAGTGAGGTGAGTGTGACATCCACTTTCTGCGCTTGTGTCCCCATAGGAAACATGACGATGACCGCAGGTTCACCTGCCCCGTGGAAGGCTGTGGCAAGTCCTTCACACGAGCGGAGCACTTGAAGGGCCACAGCGTGACCCACCTGGGCACGAAGCCCTTCGCCTGCCCTGTGGAAGGTAGATTTTAATACACTGCTTTGGGTTGTAAACCAAGTATCCTGGCAACATGACCGTTATGAGTTCCAGTTGTTCAGGGGTCAGTTGCAGTTGCTTGGTAGAAGCTGTCAGTCACAGCTTCATGTGTACAAGCCTCATGGAGTGAGCTGTGGTGTGGTGGCAGTGGTGTCCTGGCAAGTGCAAACGTGAGACTCAGAACCTGGCGTGGCTCCTGGTGGTGTCCTATTTGGGTCATGGCTCTGGTTAGGTCATCTGTGGAGTGTGATCATTGTGGAAATCAGGTGAAAATGGCCTTTTATGTGTCGGCCCAGCTGACTTTCTACAGAGTATCAGAGAGGTGTTGATATTTAAAATGCAGAAGCCACAGTGTGTTTGCCAAGAGCCTGTGTGGTGTCTCCCTGTTACTCTAGAACCATAGAAACCCGGCGGGGCTGGGAGCCAAGCCTGGAACAGTCATCAGCTCCAGCACTGGCCCTGCCACTCCCTGAAGTGACCTCAGACCAGCTGCTGTTCTATAACGTGGTTTTCTTACCAGGAAAAAGGGGACAGCCCCATTTAAAGCCAAGATGTGAGCGTAACTAACACAAGCTCCCGATTGGATGGCTGAGACAGGGCTCTCCCTCTGGCAGAACTGCAGGAGTATGGAGGGGCTGCCGGCAAAGCCTCATGTATTGAGAGGGGCCTCCTGTTCCGAGGAGCCAGGAGAGCTGCCCAGACATGCATGGATGTGGCACAGGTGGCCATGGAGGTGGGAGGCAGCAGGACCAGCCCGGAGTCTCCTAGGTGCTGAAGCAGCAAGCCTGGTGATTACGGTGCATGAATTAGGGAAGCACACTGGAGCTGTGGCTCCGCTTCATGGCTGGAAATCACAGATCTGTCAGCAAAGTCCTGCTCATCCTGGGGAGGCTGGGCTGGGCACCGCGGTAGCAAGGGGGAAAGCTGTATTGATGTCAGTGGTGGGAGGTTGTAGAGGGATGGTGATGGATTTGCACCCAGATGGTGCTCCCGGGGAGATGCTGTGGCTGGGGTCACTACCCCTGCTTGGCTAAGACACAGGAGAGCTGGCCTCAGTGCAGGTGTTAGAATTGGGTCTGGACAAGTAAGTTAGGGTGCTCACAGGACCCTGCTGAGAACCTGCAGGGGAACGGTGCTCACCGTGCAAATAATCTGCAGGCAACAGGGAAGGCATCGTTTGGTGCCAGGGCCACCCTTGGGAAGTGGGCATCACACCTGTTGCACAGGTTCACAGAAGGTAACTTGTGAGGCCACAGGACTTGTAGGTGGCTGAGCTTGAGCTGCTCTCTCAGCCCAGACTGTCTTCGTGGCCTTACATGCTGCAGCTGGGCGCTCTCCTTGGCCTGCAGCCCGCTAATGCTAACCCCTGGGCTGCCCCTGCCCCTGGGGCAGGGTGCAGTCACCTCCTGTGTTGTGCCAGTTGCAAGACCCTGTTCCCATGTTCTCGAGAGGTGTGCTGTGCCCTCTGCTCCTGGAACCTGTCTTCAGTCCTGAGTTAGTGCAGCTCTTCAGTGTAACAATGGTCCTGGTAACCTGGTCCTGCCAGACTCCAGGTTCCTTCCTGCCCGAGAGCGCCGCTTGCCTTGTTTTCATCTGCATAGGGCACAGCTTCAAGTGTGGGAAAGGAGGACACCCAGAGAAGGTGGCTGGGATTTGAGCTCAGACTTGCTTTTCACGCCCGCATGCAGATCTAGGGCATAAGCAAGTTGGGCAAGTGAGGCTGGTAGGCAGAGGGTGCAGGATCGGGCTCCACCGGTGTCCTTGCCTTCAGCTTGTTTGGTCCCTTTGGCCATCCTGTTTTCATGGTGGTAAAAATAAAAGGAGTGGACTTGAGTGATCTGGTGAGGTGATTTCCAACACTAAGTGAAGGGTTATTTCTTAGAGTGATAGCCTCACACAGAGGAGTGTAACATTTCTTGCAGTTGAAAGTGTAGGGAATTGTTTGGGCTTAATTGTCCCACTGCCCTTGCAATGGATGGTGAGACAGCTCAGTTTGTCATTCCAGGGCTGGTGCAGGGCTTAGAATTGCTGTGGTTTTCATGATCTCTCTTTGACCAAACCAGGTGGCTTCTGACCAAATCCTTGTTATGTGCTCGTTAGGGAATATTGGTATTCAGGAGCCCATGGAAAAGAATATTTTTTCTCTTTAAATGCATAGTGGCTTCTCAGTTATGGAAATGGGTAGTGATGGAGTCCTGGGGTCTGTCATACAGATGTGGGGGTGTAATGGAACATGCATCCCTGCTTCCAGACGAAAGATGGATTCCCAATTAAATTGTTGGTCATATGTAAACAGTGGGATGCTGACTGTCTGACATTGTCTGTACCAACAGTGTCAGGGCACACTTAAATAAGAGACTGAAAGAATTATGATTCTTTATGAAGGACTACACCATTGAAGTAAAACGGGGAAAATCTGTTGGGGGAATCCCAGCCTATACGAAATTGTACCACATAATTCAAAATTCAAAATAAAAATATGTTTACAAAAATTCATGCATAGGTTTTTTTTGGGATATAAAATTTTTTTTTAAACTTTCTGAGTATCCCTTGTCCATGTGGCTTGCCAGTGGTCAACATGTGGGGTTGCAGGTCTCGTGCTGTGGTGGGGTGAGCCATGGCAGCCACTGGTTCCTTGGTGACTCCGTACTCTATTGCAGGGTGTTGTGCTAGGTTCTCTGCTCGCAGCAGTCTGTACATTCACTCGAAGAAGCACCTGCAGGACGTGGCTGCTCCGAAAAGCCGCTGCCCCGTCTCCAGCTGCAACCGACTCTTCACCTCCAAGCACAGTTTGAAGGCGCATGTGGTCAGACAGCACAGCCGGCGCCAAGGTCTGCTGGCTGTGCCCTCGGGGGGTGGGCCTGCAGAGCATGTGCCTGGCGTGTGTGAGAGGAGCGGGCCAGGTGCTGCTCTGTCACCTGCTCCGGATGGTCTCTGACAGGGAACCGTAGTTTTGGAACATGGGTGCCACTTCTTGCCTCTGAGTGATGTTCAGTCTTTTCTGTTGCATTTCCCCAGTATTTTCCCTAAAGCTGTATGCACTGGGACCAGGGTCCTCAATTCCTAGGCCTGGGGCCCTTGTTTCTTGTGCCCGCTCGCCCTTGCCTCCTTCTTCCCCCTCTGCCGCTGGTCTTCCCCTGCCAGGTTTCCTGTGGGGGCAGGATTGAAGACCAGAGCAAGCTGTGTGGCAGGAGTGGCCCGGAGGCAGGCAGGACTGCAGTGGGAGGGGAGAGGAGCCTTCATGGTAGCCCAGGGCCATGTGAAGACAGCAGATTCAGCCCGTGGAGTGAGTGCCTGGTCACTGGGCGGCTGTGATGCATGAGTCTCAGAATTATGCCTTTATTCTGTGAGCAGGACCCTAGGGCATCCTGTGGGCATCAGTGGTGGCCTTTCTTGTTAGTGTGCCCTGTTCTCTGGGCTTGATGGGGAGCCTGCTGTGGCATTGGCTTTTGCTGTCCTGCATGATGGGGTGTGACCTTGTCCCTGTGGGTGTCCTGGGCAGAGGACAAGGCTCTGAGCCCCATACCCTCACCTTGGAAATGGGGTGGATGGGATGAGTGGCTGGGGGAGGTAACTCGGTGCCCCGTGCAGAGCTGGGGCTCAGGGAAGGGTGCTGACCTTCCTCTGTTTGTGATCCCTTCTGAAGTGGTCACTTGGTTTGTCAGGTGGCCCATGGGCTCTTGTGTCACAGTCCATATTAGTTGCCATTTACCTTTATGTCCAAAGATGTTGCTCCTCTAACCTCATGACTTGAGCAGAGTGGAATGCGTGTCCTCTGCCTTCAGGGTGGACGCTGTCCCCTGTGCTCCAAGGCTTTCGGTGGCCAGTTCCCTCTGGCTCTGAGCTGGCCGGCCTCGCTCAGCTTCTCCCTTTCCTAACTGGGCTCATCCGCAAGTCAGCAGAGGCGCAGTCCCTGAACTCCACCTGGATGGGAGACCTCGGGTGTTTCCCAGACCAGTGTTTATGATGTGAGGTCGTTTCCCCGCCACCTGTTGGGATGGGTGACAAAGCATCCCAGACTTCGCCTGCTGGAAAGCTTAGCATCATTAAATGACTATGGGCTTGTGCCAGGACCCTGATGCGTGGTTTGAGTTCACCCACTTGGGTTCCCAAGGAGTAGGTAATCTGCTCTGTCATTGATGACACTGAGGCAGAAAGGTCAAGGCCAAGGTCATACAGGTAGGATGTGTTGGAGGTGGCGTTTGGGCATCTAACCTAGAGCTGCAATGGCTGGTCAGCATACTGCCCCTAATCATTCCCTGATGGCTCAACTCAGGGTGCCTCTCGCTCTTACCAGCTGATGGGATTGGCAGACCCAAGTTCTAATCTAATCTATCTTCTCTTTTTCTGGGGAAGTCTGTTGCCAACTTGAGAATCTGAGACACAGATATAAAATGCCTGATATGGAACTAAACTGACCCTTCTCTTGCTGTGTGTGGGTTCCAGTGCCAGACCATGGGATTCAGGAAGAGGACAGTGAATGCTGTCCTAAGGGGAAGCTTGCCTACATCTGGAACTGAAGTCAAATGTCATAAAATAACTAGAGTATTCATTGCTTTTTCAGATCTCTTACCTCAGCTAGACACTCCAAGTTCTCTTACACCCAGCAGTGAACTCAGCAGCCCGGGCCAGAGTGAGCTCGCTAACCTAGATCTGGCAGCGCTCTTCTCGGACACTCCCAATGGTGGTGGTTCAGCAGGTGGGTCAGACGAGGCGCTGCGCTCCGGCATCCTGACCATCGATGTCACCTCTGTGGGCTCGTCTCTGGGAGGGACCGTCCCTGCTAATAACAGCTCCCTGGGGCCCATCGATCCTCTGGTCTTAGTGGCCCACAGTGATGTTTCTCCAAGTCTCGATAGTCCTCTTGTCCTTGGGACGGCCGCCACAGTCCTCCCGCCAGGCAGCTTCAGTATGGATGACGTGCAGACTGTGAGCACCAGACCACTGGGCTGCTTGGTGGCCCTGCCTGTGAAGAACTTGAGTCAAGACTCCCTGACCCTGACCTCCAGCACTACCTTGGCTGCGCATATCACCAGAGCAACCTCTGCAAGCACCTCCCAGGAACATGGTAGCACCCCAAAACTGGGGGAGCAGGACTCACCACCTGGCTGCACGGTGCTGGGGCCTCATGGAGGCAGCCCCGGGCCCCCAGCAGAGCGGCCTGGTGCCCAGAAGGAAGCAGAGCTCCGTGCAGGCCCTGGCAGCCTCTGTTTAGTATGACGCACTCTGTTCTGTCACCACCGTGTAGGTCCCACCCCGCCGCTGTGGGTTGTGGTCGTGGGAAAGCTATGGACCGACCCTGTCTATGCAGACGCTCTTCCTGCTTTGCAGAAGGACGGAGCCCTGGGCTGCAGGTCTGGAGAGCGGAGTCTTATGTTGCGTCTAGAACTGACACATCCTTAAGACCTTGAGCAAATCATTTAACCTATCTGAGCCTTAAATTCTCATTTATTTAAAAAATAAGGGGATTTGGCTAGATAATTTCTAAGGTCCTTTTGAGTTCCATGATTGGTGATAATGTGTTCCTTTTCTCAAGAAAATTGGGTCATTTTGTAATCTTGAAATGTTTTGTGTCTGTACTTTTCACGTTAAGGACAAGTCCAACAGAGGAGGCGTTGATACTAAACTACCTTGAAAGGCTTGATGGGAACTCACCATGCCGAGATTTTTTTTTTTTTTTTTAATCAGAATAAATGAAAAAGGAGTAGTTTGTGACCTTCATTGTTGGAGGATCCTCACAGCTCTTCACCTTGGAGGCTGGGGAGTTCAACAGACTATATTTATATCAGTGATAACATTTGCTATAATTTAACTTAAACTTATTTAATTAAAGATCCTGGGAGAGAGTCTTCCCTAGCATCAGATGGAATGATCACATGGTTGTGTTCCTTAGAGGCACAGGTTAGATTGGTTAGCGATGCTGCTGTCTTTGACAGCGCCAAGTCTTAATTTCTCACAGCTTAGCTCAGTCTCTGGGAGCAGAGTGTGCTGTGGGGGCACCTTGGGCACAGCGCCATGAGGCATCTGACATCTGAGCACAGGGCAGTCTATCTCTCCGTCTCTGGTGTCGGGCTTGTTGGTGGCAGAGGCTCACTTGCTGGCCATGCTCAGGTTGCTCCAGCTGTCGCCCAGGGGACAAGTGACTGGGCAGGGTCAGGCGGTGAAACAGATTGCAGTGAAGTGGGCAGTCAGTGCCCAGCACAGGGACTCTGGTGGCTGCTGCACCTGCAGGGCCTCACCTGGGTGGCAGCAGAGAAGCCTGCCACAGCTGGATCCCAACCCCTGTTCATTTTCTTGTTAGCTGCATTACTTTGGTGCCCCTTGCTTCCCTGAGCACCCGCGGTGTGTGGTGAAAGGGTTATAGATATTGCCAAGAGCTGATGAGGACTGCCTTTTGTTAGTTTGTTCTCCCCTTTTTGTACTGATAAGAATTAAAATTCTCTAATAAAACATGTACACATGTTTAAGTCCTAGTAGAGGACTGTTTGGCTGGCTGTCCTTCGGTAATTTTGCTCCAGCTGTTTTGACCTAGAAGCCACCGAGGGTGACACCTGCCGCCAGAGCCACCCCTGTGGCGAGCAGAGGAGTCAGGGCATCCGGGGAAGGCAGGCATTGGTCTCAGAAAGGGAGAAGTCCGCCCCACAGCTAGAGCAGATTCTGTGAAACGTTTTCACGGATGTTAGACTTAGGAATGCTCCACGTTGCTTCTCTGGCTAATAAAATCATGTTTACTGCTCCCCTGGTTTTGATCAGCTACTGCCATAGCTGATGCAGCAAGTGGTTCTCAGTGTGCCCTTGCCAGAGACTGCAGAAGTGGTTGTAGGTATCGCGGGTGGTCCAGCAGCAGACCTGGGCTCTGCTTTCTTCCCCTTGCTGCCCTGCTGCTACTGCACAGATCAGGTGACTGACACACTTTTCTTTGGTCTCAGGAAAGTGGGGGCTCAGCAAGAACTAATTACCGAGCCATTCAAATAGCCAAGGAAACAAAGCAGGAAGGAATGGAGAGCCATGCAGGTGAGGCACGTGCTGCAGGGTGGGACACAGGCTGGGCTAGCTGGCTGGGTACAGCCCGAGCTGGAAGCATGGGGGGCAGGACAGGTGTTTCTCTGTTCTTTGTCTCATTTTTATGTCGCATATGTCCTTTTCTGCTCCTTAGGTTTATCTAAACTTCAGGGGGGGAAATGTAGTCACAGAATTCCCAGGAATGTGTGATAGGAACATGTCCCGTGCTTGCCACCCCTCCCCCTTGCCCCGAAACCAAAGAAAGCTTTGTGAACATTTGGGGATCAAACACAGGTGTCACTTACCTGGAGGGCTGATAAGGCATAGAAGCAAAATGTGCCAGGTGTCAGGAGAGCAGAGCCCAGGACCTGGTACAGAGTGGCCGCTTTGTGCTGACCCTGGAGATGGGCCTGGCCCACTCTCCCCAGGAGACGTGTTCCTATGTGTCTTGTGGCCTTGTGGCCCCCAGTCCAGCTTAGGTTGGAATTGAAAAGTCAACACCATACTTGAATTTTCAAAAAACACCTTGTAGACCAAATAAGAATAGAGGGGTGGGAGAGGGGTGTGGGCACGGTCCAGTGCTTCCTTTTCATGTGAACATGAGCAGGGTGGGGACACAGTGGGTAAAGCAACTGGTGAACCTTTGATCAGGGCAATGGTGAATTCTCACAGTATATTCTTTTGTGTGTCTCATTTGTCTTATAATTACTTTAAATTTACTTTTAAAATGTCAAAAGGTATGTGGCATCAGTGATGCAATTTTCTATCTTATTTCCTAATAGTATTATGGCTTTATATTTAAAATAAATAATAACTTTGCTTTCTGTTGATGAGTTTCTTAAAGCACATTTTTCACTATAACGGCTGAGGGGTATGTCTGTGTTGACTGTGATGTAGAAAGGCTGCTTCCATGGCTCTCAGAGATGCTAGAAGAAGGCATGGTGGTGGAAGTTTACAGAAGGGCCCCACACATTGTGCCTTTGCTGGGCCTGTTAGGTAATCTTGAACTTGAAAAGAATCTGTAAGAATTTGGGTATATAATATATGTTATCTTTATTGCATTGATTGCATGGGAGAAATATCTAGAGGTGATTTTCTTTCATTGCCTTTATTCTTCTTTCAGCATTAGCTTTAAAAATAAGGGCCCTTTAAAAATATCATTGCCACATAAACCGTTACTTCTTGTAAAATCAACAGTATTTCCTTAACACAAGTATCTAGTAAGTATGTACCTTTTCCCTTGTCTCAATGATGAATATTTGTAACTGTTGGAATCTCTTCAGGTAAGATTCATGCCCGCTGTGCTGTGTCAGTCTCTTACAGCTGTAGCTTTCTCCTGTTTTTCAGACACTGAGTTGTTTGTTCATGGTGTTTACTGATTGTGTCACTGAGGTCAAATTCCCAGGTCCCTCTGTGTATGTTTCCTGTACATTAGCCATGACATCCAGTGGCATGATCCAGTTGTTCTGGGGCTGGCCACAGCGTGAGCAAGCTGGGGGAGACTCTTGCAGGAGGCCCCTGGTACGGGGGGTCTGTTCTGTGTTATTGGCAGCCAGTAGGGTTCATTGACTCAGTGCCTTCTTTGCTTGGAGGTCACAGGAAGATGGGACTCTAATTCTATCATTCCACTTTCCCCATCAGCTAGAATAATTAGGTAAGCAGTGACTGGCTGTCACTCCTCTGTCCTGAGGTATGGGTCATGCAGGAAAATGACAATGACCTTGCTAATGACTTTTCCTTCACGTTTTCTGTGATAATGAGTGTTTAGGGATTTTAACATCTACAGATGAGTACACAAATAGAACTTGTCGGCCAGGTTGCCCATTTGCGTGGGTACAGGCAGTGGGAAGCTGTGCTTGTTGGGGTGGGGACATTCCTTGCTCACCTTGGGGTGTCCTTACCTTCCTGGTCTTGGAATTGACCTCCTCTTCAGTGACCAGCCCACTGGGTGTGCATACTGAGTCTGGGAAGCCTTCCCCTGTATTTTGAGCTCAAAAAATTTTACATTTTAGAAACATACTTTGTATTTCCTAGGTGTGGCCTTGGTACTTCTCAGGAAATCCAGGAAGAACATCTGTAGCCTCACGTCTGTTCAGGTCATTTTGCTGCTAAATTGTCTTTGGCACCAGAAATAATCTTTAGGAGTGAACATTTGAGTTTTGTAGTTTTATGGGTTTCAGAATCATGGTTGAGGGGTGTGGCCCCGTGGCCCACGCAGACAGAGGTTGGTTGCAATGTGTTGGAACTGTTAGTGGAACTGGGTCACTTGTGCACAGTCAGGATTCCATGAAAATGAGACTAAAAGCAGAGTACATTTTTTTTTGGAAACGCAGATTTACAGTGAGGAGAGACAGAGAAAGATCTTGTCCACTGATGTACTCTCCGAAGGGCACAACGGCTGAAGCTGAGTCAATATGAAGCTAGGAGCCAGGAGCCTTTTCCAGATCTCCCAAGTGGTACAGCGTCCCAAGACTTTGGGTCATCCTCTACTGCTTTTCCAGGCTGCAAGCAGGGAATTGGATGGAAAGTGGAGCAACTGGGACATGAACCTGGTGCCCATATGGGATCCCAGCGTTGCAAGCAGAGGATTAGCCAATAAAACCACTGCATCAACCCCCACATTGGTTTTATTGTTAAAGCAGTGTCAGCCTTTATAAAATCTGAGTGGAGCCAGTTTCAGAAGTGGTAGGGCAAAGGAAAGACAGATGGCGTGATTGCCCTTCAGAACCTGTGGGCCCCACTTCTGTGTGTTCAGTCGACCTTAGATCCTAGTGGCACAATACAAGTGGTGTGTGCCACAATACTTGCGGGGATTTTTTTTTTCTTGTCATTTCCTGATACCTGTTTATTATTTCTCCTGTAGCATGTGTGTTGTGTTTGGTACTGGGAGTAGTCTGCAGGTGAAGTACATGGGCAGATGTGCACAGATAGGTGCCAGGGCCACCCTGTTTGTGTACGGGACTTGGACACAGAGTGTGGTCTCCCCAGGGGTTCCTGGAGCCAGTCCTGGGTGGGTACCAATGGCAGCTGTGTCATGGGTGCTTGCCCTGAGGGACAGAGGATGGCAGGATGCCTTGTGGCAGAGCGGAAGGTCTCTAAGTGATAGGAAAACTGGAAGTGAGCCTGACTGCCCTGGGCAGGGCAGAGACATGCCATCTGCGTGGCGTGGATGAGGCTCTTACCCTGTGTAGAAATCCTTGGCCAGAAACAAAGCAAACGAGGTGGAAGCAAATTATAAAATAGAAGGTTGGCGTGGATGGGAGAAACACACTTAAATGAAAAAGAATTGGGTCAGAGAGCTTCCCTGTGTCTGTGGTTGCTGTGTATGGGTACCACAGCACAAGTGTACGAGTCACAGAATGCAGTGGCAAGCAGCTGCTGGGCTACACTCTCCTGTTCAGCACCAGCGGCGGCATTTCCGGAGGGAGGATTCTGCAGAGTCCTGAGGAGGGCTCAGCTCTCATGATGCTGGACCACAGCAGGGTAGCTGAGAGTGTTGGTGCACTCTTGTCCAGTGACGATAGGGCAGCACCACAGTTAGCTTGTATTTCAAGACAGAAACAAGCACACCAGGCTGCAGAAGGGTAAACCCAGGTCTCCATGCTAAGGGTGACAACCTGTGCGTGTGTTCATAGCTTCCTGTGTGGAGCAAGCCCACCCACCCTCAGGTCAGCTTCTGCCTCTGTCCACACTGCTTGGCCAAGGGAAGCGAGAGCACCAGACTTGAGTCCCAGATTGCAGTGTTAGGTCATCCATACACTGATCTGCTGATCAAACAGGGGCCTGGATCCTCTCATGTAGGTGCAGGGTCCCAAGGCTTTGGGCCATGCCATCCTCAACCACTTTCCCCAGGCCACAAACATGGAACTGGATGGGAATCAGGACTGCCAGACATGAACTGGCACCCATATGGGACCCCAGCGTGTGCTAGGCAAGGACTTTAGCCACTAAGCTACCACGCCGGGCCTGAACCACATGTTTATATGTGCTAAAGTCAAGATTAGGAAAGGAGCTGAGTCATGTTGGTATTGACTGATGGGTCTTAGACAGGACAAGTATTTGAAGGAGAGATGGATCTTCCTTCTGCTGGCTCACTCCCCAAGTGGCCACTATGGCCAAAGCTGGACTGATCGAAAGCCAACAACTCTTTCCTAGTCTCCCACATGGGTATAAGTGCCCAAGCATTTGGGTTGACCTCTGCTGCTTTCCCAGGCCGTGGGCAGAGAGCTGAATAGGAAGTGGAACAGCTGGGACTCAAACCTGTGTCTATGTGGGATCCTGGCACTACAGGTGGAGAATTAATGTGCTATGCCACCATGCCATCCCTGTGATTAAGTATTTTTGAAAGGTTCATTCCAGTTGCTTTTTGGGAAAGAACAGGTGGCATGAGAGGAAATGAGGTGAGCAGTTGATGTGACTCAGAGAAAGGTGGTGTTGGGGCTTTCACTGCTGGTGAAGACAGTCCTGGGTCTGTGACAGCTAGGGCCACAGGAGGGGCTGGGTGTCAGGTGGCACAGCCAGGAAACCAACCTGGGAATTGTTTGTGCCCTGGTGGTGTGCCTGGGCATGAGAGTACATGCATAGATGTGCATCCTTAGAGCTAGAGGACTTGTGTGAAGGCCTTCCCGGGGATGCAGACAAGTGGGGGCTGTGTGTCTCCAGGGAGCATTCTCACAAGGTACATGGCATTGTCTGCTGAGAGTGAAAGAGGGCACACGAATATATTCCCGGATGGGCAGGGCAGGGTACAGAGGGAAGCTGGGGGACTGACTGGCCACTCGAGATGTAGCCCAGTCTCTTCTTGCACTGCTGATGACTGCTGGTCCCTCAGCCAAATCAGTCGTAGCCCCGGGCTGGTTACGTGAAGAAAAAGAGCAGCTCTTCATCCTGTTCTTCATCTGTCAGCCTGTGCTTCATGGAGCCCTTGACTTTGGCAACTGGTGGGTGGGAGCGGGATAGCAGCTTTCGGCCTCTCTGCAAGGGAAACAGGCTCGGTGGGCTGGGCCAGGCGTCTCTCCTGAGCCAGAGGCACCATGTGGCCCAGCTTGGGTGAGGGCTAAGGCCAAGGAGGGAGTCTGCCAAGCGTGAACCAAGCCTGGCCTGTGTGGCACTGCCCCTAAGAAGTGTGTCTCTGCAGAGTGGAGACAGGAGTGGCCTTCCCCAAGTGACAAGTGGGAGTGGCAATGGCTCAGCAGAAAGCTGAGGACCTCAGCCATGGGGAGAATCCCAGTAACAGGTGATGAGTGTGGCATGTGGGTCTGGCTGGAGTGTAGGTTGGGACGGGGGACCCTGGAGGGCTGAACCAACAGGGGCAGCTCTGTGCCTGCCCATAGCTGGATGGAAGGGCTCAGCTGGGCTAGTTTGCAGCCAGGAGTGAGGATGCAGAAGGGAGACTTGACATGATGGGCATCCTGGAGAAGGCAGGGCCCGGAGGTAGGGAGGGCCACCCCAGGAGGGCAGTAGGCCTGGCTACAGGTGTCCCTGTTGCATCCTGTCCTTGCTGCAAAGGAGCCCACTGCCCATCAGAGCCCTAGTGGCACCAGCTGCAAAGACAGCTCTCAGGGGTCAAGGCTACTGGGCCGCAGGCCACACCCACACACCTTCTTCTTGATCTCAGCCTGGGCTCGGGCCTGGGCCCGCTGCAGGCGCTCCTCCTGTAGCTGTTTCTGCATCATGACCTTCTCTTCTCGCAATCTGTGTGTGACAAGATGGCATGAGGTGGCTGGAGGGGCCCGTGCAGCACTGCTGCTGCCAGTCACCACCACCCTCATCCTGGGTGGTCCTCCCAGGCAGGCCACACCCACCCCTCATGGGAAAACTCCCAGCTGGGCCAGGGCAGGGGTTGGCCCACTGACCCACTGCTGGGGCACCTGACTACTAGCCAAATAATGGGCCCCTTGTGGTGTGCTGGAGGCTAGGTGGTATGGCATGAGCTAAGATTGCCCTGAGTTAAACCCCTCCAACCCACAGACACATTTCCCTCATTACTGGTCCACATGGCCAACCCATGTGCCTACGAAGGTGTGGGCACCCTTGGTGGCCCAGCACCTGGCTGGGGCAGTAGCTCTGTCTCTGTGACTATATTTCCTGCAGGAAAACCTCTGCCCAGAGACCTATCAGAGCAAAGTGACGAGGACCAAGAGGAGGAGCCCTCTGCTTGCGGGAGAGATGGGTAGCTGTGCCTCAGGGGCCCTGTGTAGACCAGTAAGTGGACCCACAGCCTACAACCCCACTGGGACCTCTCATCTCTCAGCTCTCATCCAGCATTGTGCCAGCAAGCTAGCACCCACCTGCCCTGCCACTTCACTCAGCATGCACCTGCCACCCCCTCCCACCAACATTGATCTTGCTACCCTTCTTACCTCCCCAGCCAGAAAAGACGGTTCAGTCAATCCCACCTTGCCCTCCCCATTGCCCCAGGTTTTCAAGGTTCAAGTTGTGCTGGCTATAGCCTACTGTCATCAGACTCGTCCCCTCCCTCTTCTGAGAGTGATACTACTATCCCAGACGCTGGCTTCCACCTCACACGTGGAGCCCCAGGGCTGTGTCTCCCCTGGGTGTGTAGCCCGACCTGGGAGCTGGAGTGGGACTAAGTGGGGTGGGAGGTAGCAGGCACTCGCCTGAGGCGCCGTTCCTTCTCCTTGGCCTTCTCCACCTGCTCGACCTTGGCCTGGGGCACCCGCTCCAGGTTCTCAAGCAGCTCGTTGAGCTGGTGCTCGATGATGGCCAGCATTTGCACTGTGCTCAGGTTGGATTCCTGCTGACTGCCGATGCAGCGGTGGTACACATCCAGCACCTTGCGGTTCAGACTCTCCAACAGCTTGTCCTGCAGAGGAGGGCGGCCTCCAGCGGGGCAGAGTCTACCCTGGGCTGCAGCGTGCTGGCCTCCCAGGGTGGGGAGTAGCCGGCAGCCCTGGGGCACTGCCCAGCACAGAGCTGGTGCTTGGGAGGGTTGTGGATTGAGACAAATTGGGGTGTGAGCTTTCCTGGGCCAGAGTAGCTCAATGTCATCATCCCCCTGACTGACCACTGTGGGCATCTAGATCTGGGGTCCCAACCTAAACTGGAGCTCACCCTATCTCAGCCCTTCCCCCAGCTGCATATCCTGCTGAGGTGCAGTTCCCTCCAACAGGGAGACCTCCATTGATCCTGGCTCCCCACAGACCCATATGCTGGGTGGCCATGGATAGAAGCTGTTCTGTTCTGATATTAAGGAATCTGCCAGGCACTGCCCGTGGTGGGTGGGATGGGGAAGGCACAGTGGTCAGAAGGGCCCAGCCATGGCCCTGGGCACACATAGCAAGTGTCCAGTGAGGCCTGTCTAAGTGTCTTTGCTCATGGTCTTCTCCTGGTGTCCAGCCCAGTGCTGGCACACAGCGGGGACTCTGTGGTTTTAATGCCTTAAGGAGAGAGACCCAAGGTGGGCAGTCATCATGGCAGCCTGCTGTTGTGGTCTTAGCTGCCTTTCACTCCTGCTCTCTCTCTCTCTCAGGGTCACCTTGCTGGATGTATGTGTATTTAAGAAAGTTAAAAAGCAAAGGAAGGAACAGTGCTGTGAGCAGCACTGAGTTGTCAGTACCTGGGGGGTTACATGCCTTGGGCCTGGCGCCCAGGGGCTGCTGGAGCATCTCCAGCAGGTGCCCATGGCCACCTCCCCTGCCTACCTGCTCGTCACCCATGTACTCCCCGAAGTGAAAGACCCGGGATTTGAGTTCCAACTCGGCGGCCGTCTCCTCCTCCTTGGCAATGGACCTGGTTAACGTGCTGATCAGCTGCTTCAGCTGGCTGACCTCCCTGTCCCTGGAAGGAGTGGGGCATCAGCAGGACACACCTCAGGCCATGGGCACCAACCCTTCTCCCCTGCTGTCTCACTGCCCCCCAGCAGCTAAAGGGCCATGAATGCCCAGGGGCCCAGGGCATCCAAATTGCTGGTGAGATTTAAAGTCTGCAACTGTTTTTAAAGCAAAGGGTCATTAAAATCTAGAACACAAACATTCAAGATGGTATAAAGTGACAGCCAAATGGAGGCAGAGTTCACATAGAAAGAACAGGAAGCCTACTCTGTGATAGCTTGGGTGTTCTATCGCCATCATTGTCATCTAATTTGGGGGCACTTTCCTCCCCCTGCAGCAGTTGATCCTCAATGCCCTGCCTCCCCGTGCCATCTACAAGCACCAGCTGCCTTTCAGCGTGCTGTGCTGAAGCTCCATTTGCCTGCGTCAGCGCTGGTCAGCTTCATTTCCTCCTAAGGCTGACCAATTGTCCGTCATCTGGACGGGGCACACAGTGAGACAATTGGCACAGTCCGTGGGGCTTGTTAGGCACAGGACAAACAAGCACAACCAGTGACCAAGTATAGCAGGTGTTCTTCAGGTATGGCTTTATCTTACCAGCGTCACGTCTGAGTGGCCCCTTTGAGGGCTTGGCTGCGTCGATCCTCTGCTCTTGTGTATTGCTGAGTAGCCCCCGCCCTTTGTATGTCTACTTCCTGGGCCCTGGCAGCTGGATATGGGAAGCTGCCTGGCATGGAGGAATTGGAGTCACAGCTGGCACTGTGGCTGCTCAACGGAACTGCCACTTACTTAGTTATCTGATGTCATCAGTTTTGTCATTTCTCTACAAACAGATCTTGTTTGTTTGTTTGTTTGCTAGATTTATACCCATATGATTGATTTTGGGGGTGCTAACCTAAGTGGTATTATTATGTTGTTAAGTCTTAAATTCTGGTTGTTCACGGTTGTTCTGGTTGTCTGTGGAAAAACAGCTGTCTTTTGTATGTTACGTTTATGTCTGCGACCTTGCCGTAATTGCTTAAGTGCTCCAGGAGTTCTTGGCTGCCTTTTTCCCACTTTCTCTGATAGACATGGAGACATCTGAAAACAGGCAGTTTTGTTGCTCTTTTAAAAAATACTGGTTGATTTGAAAGGAAGAGTGTTAGAGAAGTAGAGACAAAGAGCTGTCAGGCACTGGTTCACAGCCCAAAAGGAGGCAATATCTGAGGCTGGCTCAGGCTGAAGCCAGGAGTCTAGAACTCTTCCAGGTCTCCCGCATAGGTGGCTGGGGCCCAAGCACTTAGGCCGCTTCCACTGCCTTCCCATGGGCATTCCCAGGGAGCTGGATTAGAAGCACAACAGCCAGGATACCAACCAACGGATGCCAACAGCTCCAACAGTGGCTTAACCTGCATTTCTTCCATCCTTATCTATATACATTTTCCTTTGCTTGTTTTATTCCATTAGCTAGGACTCCCAGTATAATTCTGAAAAAGAATGATGAAAGCATTCGCTGTTGCCTTGTATCAGATCTCAGTAGGAAGCTTCTAGTTTCTCACCAAAAGCATGATCTTTGCTGTAGGAAGTTTGATCAAGTTGAGGAAATTCCATTCTGCACTATTTTTTTGGCGAGTTTTTATCAAGAATTTATTCTGGATGTGCTTTTTCTTGACAGAATCATGATTTTTTTTTCTTCTTTAGCTTGCTGATGTGACGTTGTATTGATTGATTGTAGTATACTAGACCAGTATTGCATCAATACCACTTAATTGTAGTGTACAACTCTTCCCATTCCTCGTTGGGTTTTATCTGCTAATGATTTGTTGAAGGTATTTGCGTCTGTGCTGATGAGGGACACTCGTCTGTGCCGTTTCTTGTAAGGTCTTTGGTTCCAGTTTTAGCATCATGATAGCTTCATCTCTGTGTGTGTGTGATGCTTACCAGCTTCGCAGGATCACAGCCTTGCTGAGAGTTAGTGGCTTCGTGTAGTTCTGGATGGACACTCCCAGAGACACTGGATCTCTGGGGCCTGGCAGACCCTCAGGGACATTGAAGGCTTGCCAGCCTGCCCCTCCAGGCCTTTGCATTTGCTGTCTCCTCTGTGTGGAGTTCTTGTCTCCAGATATCTGCTACCTGCCCAGACTACAGGACGCTTCCTCCTGCTGTCACCCTGCCCTCCATCTCCCTTCCTCACATCGCTGGCTTGTTTCTGCCTCATCTGCATCCAGTGTCAGAGTTGTGGGCCTGTCTGCCATGCGTGCTGCCACCACATGCCCCTCTGAGGGCAGAGCATTGGCTTACTCTGCAGAGCTGAGGCCCAGGAGAGAAGCTCAGCCAGTCCTTGGGGGGCAATTAAGGATGTATTCCCTGCTCTGGACAGGCTGCCTCTGGGGCCCCAGCCTGACCCTTCCTGGGATGCTGGCATTTGGACATGTGTATATGATGGGACAGGGACTGTAGTAGGTGGTCGGGGTGACACCCAGTAGGAAGGGTCACCAACACTGCAGGTGAGAACTTAGGAGCCTCCTGCCTCTCTGGCAGGACCGTGGGGGCTGGACCCTGACCACCTTACTATGCTGACCACTTCTCTCTGCCACACAGCTCCTTCTGGCTCTTGCTGGCATGTTTCAGCCACCCCCAACCTGGCCTGACCCGCCATGTTCTATGCCGTATCTCCCTGTTCATGACCATGCTTACTCCTGCCATCAGCTAAGCTGCCTGTGGAAGACTACACCTCACGATTGTCTGGCAAGGTACAGGACCAAAAGGCCTGGCCTTCCCCAGCTCCCTGCTGGAGATAGCTGATGTGCAATGGTGCAGTGGCTTAGCAAGTGCTGAGGACACACAGCTTCCCTCCCCTCCCAAACAAGCATCTGTCTTGAGAGCCTGAGCCTCTGAGTGACACATGTGGGTACCCAGGGAACTTGAGACCTCCATCCTGTTCCTGCAGGGAGTTTGAAGAGGAGCCCAGCCCCAGCTCCAGCAGGGCGCTCCACCCAGGGGAATATGCTCCCTCCCCAGGGCCAGGCCTGCAGAGGGACATTCACCCCTAGGCCCCTGGGCTGCAGTCTGTTGGGGGTGGGGCTGGGTACGCACATGCGCAGCTGTGTGTTCCTGAGGCTGAGGCTCAGCTCCTCCAGGGTCTCCTCCATCTCCTGGCGGTTCTGGATCAGTGACAGGTTCTGCTCCTCCAGCTGGATGAACTCATCCAGGAGCTGCTGGGGCTCCGTGAAGTACAGCGGCAGCTCCTGCACCCACCGAGCAAGCTGCTGCGGGGTGCAGGTGGGGGACAGCCACACTGCTCGGCACAGGGAGCATGGGGGGAGGGGGCCTGGACTGCAGGGGGGCAAGAGAGGACAGGACGCCTAGTGGGAGGATGGAGGAGGACGACAACAACATGTCCTGGGGAGGCCACTAAGTCTACCAGGCACCTGGGAGGGGACAGAGGAGGGCATGATGCCAGAGCCAGGCCACTGACCTCCCTGTCACTGTCAGTGTCCTCTTGTGGGGTGACACCCGGGGTTGGCCTGTGAAGAAAGGGTGGCTTCAGGGCTCTGGGGCTTGCCCTCGCCTGGCGTGGAGTGTGCCTTGTACTGCTGTAGCATGTCTTCTACTTGGGAGATCCCACTGGACCCCAAGCAGGGGATATCAGGCTCTGTTCATGCAAGATGCCCATGGAGGCCCCAGAGGGGCTATGCTTGCAAAGGGAGTGCAGGGGAACTCGCCTGCACTCCCTGGCATCCTTCCCATGTGACAGCAGGCATGATCACCTGCAGAGCTGCTGGCTCCATGGGACTCCTTCCTGGAGAAGCCTATCCACCATGGACATCACCCGTGGTGGACAGACTGCTCAAGCTGACACACACAAGGGAAGGTGAGCTTGGAAACCAGAGAGGGTGGATCTTCAGCCAGCCTGCTCAGAGGCCTGCATTTGGTACATTGGTGATTCAGGGTGGGGCTTAGTAGGTGTCAACATGGAACTTGGGGACAAGTGGGGTCAGAGTACGGAAGACAGAGGATACACAGCAGGTACAGGTCCCACAAAGGAAAGGGCAGTGCCTCCGGATGCCAGGAGAGAAGGCAGGAAAGACCCCTGAGCAGCCCCCTGCTCCCCATCTCCATGACCACTGCCCACAGCCCAGCACATCAGGCTCCGAGCCCCTAGAAGGAAGCACAGCAGGCTGCGACCAGGACTGAGCTTGGCAAGACTTCCAAGCAGGGCGCCAAGCATACTGTCAACATTTCAGCAAGATGAAGAATCCCTGGTTCTCAAAGGACAATGCTCACAGGTGAGAAGGTCTCGCATGGAGCCCAAGCTTCTCCCCCTCTGCCGCTGGGAAAGTACCACAAAAGCCACAGGAGATGCATGTCCTGCCTGCCACAACCACCTGTTTAAGGGCTGTGCTTGGCACCTGCTGACCCTGCAGCACCTGTCTCACTACTCCAGGGCAAGGCAATTGTCCAGGCCTGTGGCCCAGCCCCTTCTCTGGGGCACTGCCCCCACTGTGAATCCCTCTGCCTGCCTTAATCACCATGGGGATAGGACCAGGTGCCTAGTCATGGCCCCATGCTCAGAGCCCTGACACTATCTGTCTCCCAATAAATCAGTCTTCTATTTGCCTATCTACCCCCATCCCCCAGCACTTGAAGAAACTGTGCTCAGGGCTGCTGCCCACCGTGCCCCTGTCTTCTCTCACTCTGCCTGCTGGCCGGCCCTTGAGCGTTCCCACGTGACACCTGCTGTGGCACACAGAAAGCACCCTCCCATTCCTGAGGAACTATAGATAACCAACTCCTTCCAGCAGTCGTTTCCTGGGCCTTTTGACCTCAGTGGATCTAGGCGGCACCAGGGCTCAGAGTTGGGGTGGAAGGGGGGTGGCAAGAGAAGGGCAGGGAAGGGGTGCCACTTCCTAGTCCAGGCCCACTCACTTGTTGGATTCCACCTCGGCATGCGTGCTCATCTGGTTGACACTTTTGGCCAGGAGTTGCCCCAGCCTTGCCACCTGTAGAAACTTGGAGGGTTTCTTTGTGCTCTGGGTATCTGGAGGGAACCAGAAGGGAGGTTTCTGTGAACCTCCCAGTCTAGGCTGCAGGTTATCCTCCCCATCCTACCACCACCCTAGGGCAGCCATTCACCTCGGGTCCACAGGGACATTGCCTGGCTTTTGCTGCCTGGTCCTGTAGGAAGCAAAGGAGGACCCCCTAGATGCCTCAGTGGGTGCTGGGCTTCAGGTGATGCTGCTGCTGCTCCCAGCCTTAGGAGGAGGGAAGCGCTGGGGAGGAGAGCCCCAGACTTCTCCCCCACTCCCCCCCAACACAGGGAAAGCCTGGGCTGAGAACAGGGCCACTGTGGGGCTAGCCCAAGAGACCCAGGTCGTGGTTGCAGCTGCCTTGGGGCACAGAAGGGAAGGCTGTACCTGCACTGCTCTCTTTGGCTCGCTCAGCTGCAGCCTCCTTGGCCTTCCTGAGAGCCAAGCGCTTCCTCTCCTGCTCTTCCAGCCACTCTTTGGGTGACAGCTTATATAGGAAGTCCTTGTATCCCTTGTACTGTTGTAGCATGTCTTCCACTTTGGAGATTTCACTGGATCCCAGGTCAGAGGGGGTGGGGGTGGGGAAGGGGAGGTCAAGCTCTGCTTGGGCAAGGTGCCCAAGCAAGGGGGCCTGTGCCCTCTGCCATGGCCTGGCCTGGGCAGGCTCCCCTGTTCCACTGCAGTATACACGCCGAACAAGATGTGCCAGCATGGCCCCTGCAGGGCCCCACAGCCAACCATCGCTTCTTCTGGGCCTAGTAGGCATCTGATGGAGGAACTGGCCAGCTCCTCCCCACCTCTGGCACTCTGCTGCCCCTCCTTTCCCAGCCCAGCCTGCCTTCTCCCATCCCCCCTTCCCCAGTTGGTGTGGTCTTCCATCTCAGCCTCAGCCTCTTGTAAATTGGGAAGCTGCGCCCCTTGGGGTTTGGAGTTCCTAGGAGGCAAAGTCTTGAGGTTTGCGAGCTGCAAGCCTCCCCCTGCCTTTTAGCCCCAAGCGAAGTGCGGAGAAGGAGAGAAAGGGAAGCCTCTGGCCTCACCTCTTGATGTTGGTGATCTGAGTGGTGAGTTCTTGCATCTCAAGAATTTTCTCCATCTTGGTTTTGGTCTCCTTTTCAGCCCTGGGAGCGGGAACAGAGGGTCAATCATTCAACCTTGGGGGTGGGTGGCGAGGGTATGGGGGCAGGACTGGGAAGGGGCAGCCACAGCCAGCAAGTGGCCATAGGCCAGAGGACTGGCAGGCTGGCACCACCCTCAGGGCTTCAGGCTCACTCATTAATGGCCTGCATGCAACTCTGGTCGTTCTCTCTGAGGAACTCGTCAAAGAGGGACTTGTCCTTCTCCAGGGCCTTCTCAGCCTGCGCCAGCCTGGCCTCCTCCTTGTTGGCTACCATCTCTAGTCGCTGAATCTCTCGGTGCTTCATGTCCAGGGCATACTGTGGAGCCAGGCAGAGAGGGGTAGAAGCATCCAGCCAGACCCCGCGGTCACACCTCCTTGTCCTGGTGCAGGCAGCTCTTGTCCTGGGTGCGGCCACACCTACCTGGATGAGTGACATCTCACGCTGCTGTGTAATGTAGTTCCTGATGCTGTCAGACCGCATCTTCTTTTCTGCAGCGAGAGAGTGGGCCAAGGAACCAATGAGCGGGCTGGCAAGGCAGGGCGGGGGGCGGGAGGGCGCCCTCATCCTCTGTCACCAGCCCAGAGAGAGAGGGCTCCTCCCAGTCTGTGTCATTGTCCTAGGCTGCAGTCAAGCCAGGTGGGAAGCCCGTCCCCGGTCTGATTTGGTTCTCTCTTGCTGTACCACTGTTCTCCCAGGCTTGTGGCTCTGCATTCTCCCACCTTGAATGTAGCACCCAGCTTGGCTTCATAATTCCTGCAGGCCAGGACCTGAATGGGTCCCTGCTGGATCTTCGCCCCGGGCTCAGTGTGGGCAGCAGTCCATACAGGCAGATGTTCCCGCAGGCCTCAGCCATGGATGTCAAAGACATTTGGCTGAGAGTGGTCATGCTGTGGCCCAGGGACATCAAGGGCCTCTTCCCCTCTGTCTGGCCAGGCCCCAAAGCTGCCTACAGGTCTCTGGCCTTGTCCCTCCCAATCCCTTCTTGTCTGGAAGGGGCCCCAAGGTGCTTGGTGCTAGCAACTCTCTTATCTCAGTCCAGATGCCCCCACAGTGCCTTGGACAACCTGAGAGAGATCCCTGCCCCCAAAGGAGACCCAGCTCCTCACTGACAGTCAAGGTTGAAATGGAGGATATCTTGTTGCCCAAACCTGCTGGGTCCAGCCTCCTCATGGAATGTAGGGTGGGGGTAGAATTAGACAGCCCTGCTCCCTGGTGCCAGCCAGACACACACAACCCCCTGGCTCATACTCCTGGCAGACTCACAGGCCCCGGGTATGGGAAGTGCTGAGTCGCAGGACTCCCCCATTACCCTGTCCCCACTGCTTCTAAGAGCCTTTGTGTTGGACTTGTGGGAATCACCTCCAAACACCTGCTCAGTGCTGGAGACAAGAATACCAACAGCCCCGCCCCCCCAGACACATGGATCTTGTCTGCCTTACGACAATGCCAGGGCACAGGTCGCCCCCTCTAACTTCAAGGTCAGTGCTGACGTCAGCTGGGACAGGAAACAGATACCAAGATGGCAAATAGCTTGGCCATGACCATGAATCTCCTGAGGGCTAGAGTTGTGACTAGGCTTCTTTAACCATTGAGCTGAACTGCCTTTTTTTCCCCCCCTTTGTGATGGCCTAATATTGGGGTAGGCACCCTCTGGGTACATGCACCAGGAAAGGCATGGGGGTGGGGACGTCCCAGGCTCACTCGGGGTGGGGAAGGGGTAGAATGGGAGGCTAAGGGAGGGGCAGCACCTTTGGTCACAGCGAGCTTCCAGGAGATGTTGGGCAAGGCACGCAGCTCTTCCACCTTCTCATGCAGCTCCTGCTCCTCGGCCTTGTCCTCCAACTGCAGCTCCCGCCGCATGCGGCTGTGCTTGGCCGACATCATGGAGGAGTAGGTCATCTTCTCGTGCACCTGCATCACCTTCTTCTGCTCTCGCTCCTGGGGGGGCAGAGGCAGAGTGGGGCAGTGCCCAAGCTCTTCGTTCTACCTTGCCGTCCTCCTCCCAGTCACCACTGCATCTGGGCCCAGTGTCCCTAATATCCCCACTCCCCTTCCCATGCCCTAGGCTGCAGGGACACGTGCACACATGTACACACACGGGGACCAGGTGAGCAGAGGAGGTGCCAGGAGGACACCTGGGGACAGGAAAGGACAGGAAACCTCCGGCAGTGTCATAAGAATGGGGTGTCAGGCACAATACAGGGTGCAGCCCATGTGTGCTTGGCGGGAGCAGACTCAAGGCCAAGATGATGTTTCCTTTGACCTGAAGTCCCATTTAATAGAAATGATAAACTGAGGCCCAGGAAGTACACAGTTGGATCTGGGTCTCTATCAATGAGGTGGACCTGATACTAAGCTGCCCTGTCTGTACCTACTTCTCCAAGGATCCCATCATGGCCCAGCCCTCCCTTGGGAGGGAACCCCAGCTGAATGACAGGAGAGGGCAGGGTGGGGCTCCTTGCCCAGAGCGCGTCTCTGGCCTAAGCTCCCACCACCCATCTGCTGCCTAGGTCTTGAGGTTCTGTATGTACCTGCTGGTACCACTGTTATCCTCCCTCAGCCCAGCCCATTCCCTGGAGTCTCTGAGGTCACGGTCTTTCCGGCTGGCATTGCCCGATTCAATAAAGAACTCAACATGAACAATAGGCATTGGTCACTCAACCTGGCCAGAGCCCACAGGTAGGCACAGCTCTGTGTGCCAAGGGCCAGGATCTGTTCCCTGTATACTGTCCCCAGCTGCAGGCACTGGGTAGCCACTTCTAGGGAGTGCAGGCTGATGGTGATGCTCAGTAGGAGGCGGGGAGATGCTGAGGTTGGGCCATGAACAGGCTGAGAGAAAGCTCTACTTTGAGTCTCCGAGGCCAGGTGGTCAGGGCAAATAGGCCTGAGTGTGCAGTCACTTCCCCATGAGAAGGCCTCAGCCAAGGGGTGCCTGCCTATAGCTAGGCTGTGGGATGCATGTACCACCTGGGGTAATCTCTCTCAAGGTAGCGCTGTCAGCATCTTGTGAGGCAGGGCAGGACCACAGTGCTGATCCCTCTGTTCTGGTGTGGGAGAGCTGGTACGAAACCAGAGTGCATTTCCATGCATGCCCCACAGGAGGCTGACTGGCCTGGCTGTGCTGGGGCCTCAGAGCCCTGTCTCGGGCTGAAGAGGGGCCAGGGAGGGAGGCTGTGGCTGTGTCATCGGTGTGGGCAGGGCTGTACCTCCATCGGAGTTGTGGGCACACTGAGTGGGTGGGGGCGGGAGGTGATGCAGAATGCTGGGGCACAGCCAAGGGCTGGCAGGTGTCACGGCAGGTTACAGGACTTGTGGGGATGGCCTAGGGACAGGAATGTATGCTTCTGGCCTGCAGGAGTCCGAGGAGGGTGTGCCCAGAGCACCCAAAGAAATCTCTGGGCAGGCAGAAATCTTAGACATGCCTACAAGGCAAGGAACATGGCAGGAAGAGGTGGCGTTTCATGTAAGGGACAGTGGGACTGGTCACAACAGCCTGCTGACCATGGCCAGGTATGAGAGTGACCCGAAGAAAGCAGCTCCTTTGGGAAGGGAGATGGGAATCACTGCTGGGAACAGTGAGGTTGCTCTAAGGGGCTGGCCCCTGTCCTGGGGACAGTGAGGTTGCTCTAAGGGGCTGGCCCCTGTCCTGGGGACAGTGAGGTTGCTCTAAGGGGCTGGCCCCTGTCCTGGGGACAGTGAGGTTGCTCTAAGGGGTTGGCCCCCGTCCTGGGCACTTACTAAGAAAGCCCTCTTCCGCTCCTGCTCTCTGAGCAAGAAGAAATCCATGTCTTCAGGGACGCGGAAAGGATTGACCGGAGAGCTGGGGACATTTCCGGGATCTGAGGTGGGTGGGGGAAGATGCCTCGTTGAGAGGGGGAGGTAGTGGCCGGAGCCTGCAGGGTCCGGGTGCTACCCCCAGCCTGGCCCGTGACAGCAGGAGTGGTGTGTGTGTGTGTGTGTGTGTGTGTGCACACGCATGCTCCTGGATTCAGCCATGCCTGAAGCCCACTGCTGGAATGACAGACTCACCTCTGATCTTTAACTTAATTTGTGGCGGGCTTCTGTCCCTGGTACCTGAAAGAGACTTTGTGAACACAGCCCTCTGTGACTCCAGTACCCAATCCCCTGCCCTCCATAAGGGTCTCAGGAAACCTCCACTTTGCAGAGGAGGGAGCTCGAACTTGTTTACTGTGTGGGATGGGTGGCTGAGGCACTCACAGGACCGCTTACCTGGCAGTGTGGCTGAAGCCTGGGGGTATAGGAATCTGGGAGGGAACCAGGATCTGGGAGCCAGTTCCCACAGATCTACTTCCTAGTCCCCACAACTGTGCTCCACACTGTGACCTCAGAACAGGCAGTCAGGACATGTGTCCTGTTCAGCCTCAAGAGAAGTTCTAGAAAATTCTAGGAGGCCACTTGAGGGGTGCCCCCTTGGTCCTTATGCCTGTCAGCGCCCTGCGGGTTGGTGTGGTGTTCCCAAGTAGCTGGTGGCATTGCCAGCTGCATCTGAGTGCCCTTCTCCTCCAGCAAGAGCCAAAGGCTTGGTGCAGATGCATGACTGGGCACACATCCTCCACACAAGGAAGGGGTCACAGGACCCTGCCAGGATAGAGGACATGGGAGAGGGCAGAGCAGAAGCAGTTTCTCATTGGCCACTGGCTGAAACTGAAAGGAAGACACTTTCCTGGCCTGCAGGACAGGTTGTGATGGCAGAGGGGTGCGATGAGATCACGCCATGGGTGTACAGGGAGCATGCGTCCTGCAGGCAGGAATAGGGGAGGCGGACCACTTTGGGATACATGGTGGCCATGCTCTGACACATGTTGACAAAGGAGAATAAAAAAGGACAGGTGTCCTAAGAGGGGACCATGTCTTGTCAGCTGCCCAGTGTGGGGATGGATCCTAGAGGCGTAAGCTTGTACTGCTGGGTGGTGTTTAAGTTTTCATGATTCAGTAAAAGAGAAAGAGGCCAGGGCGAGGCATGGAGCCTAGCTGGTAAGCCTGGACACAGGGCAGCACCACAGAAGGCTCAAGACCTGTGGCTAACTGCTTTGCCTCTTTCCCCTTCTGATGGCACAGCAGTAGTATGTGGCTGCTCCACTTCCTTCCCAGCTCCTGCTGAAGCACCTGGTGGCCCAAGTGCGTGAGCTCCTGCCACTGACATGGGGATCTGGAAGAAGCTCCTGGCTCCTGGCTTTGGCCTTGTCCAGCCCCAGCCATAAGTGGCCGTTTAGGGCATGTACCAGCCAACGAACCATCTCTCTAACTGCTTCTTAAATATATCAGTTCTTAAAGATAGGAAGTTCAAAGTCTTTTCTGGTGAAGCTGGAACATTGGGCACTCCAGAGTTCCTGGAAGTACTGTCTGGCAACTTGGGTGCCCCGGGGTTGCCTGCCACCTTGCTCACCCTTAGCCAGAGAAGAAGCAAGGGCTGCCTTGCCACCCTCCTGGAACTGCAGGTATCTAGACCCAATTCCTCATGGGACAGGAGCCTTCTGCTCTGCGCAGAGGCCTACAGGCTGGGTCTGGGGGTGTTCGGGGACAGAGGGCAATGGAGGATTCGCTTCCTACCACCTTGGACTTGAAGCTCCCAGCTCCAAGGTTACCCTTTCTTTGTCTCTGCCCCTTTTTCCCCAGGTGTGCTGCCACAGCTGGAGGGGGACTGCTGCTCCTGGGACCTGAGCCGCTCTCTGGGGAGACACAAGTGCGAGAGCCACAGCTGTCACCCATTTGCATAGGGAATAGGGGAGCTGTCCAACCCTGGGGGCTCCAAGCACCCCTCCCCCCCGTGTCCAGGGCTTTTCTGTTACGGCTAGAAAGAGCTGATCCTGCCTCCTGGGTCCCATGCTGGTCCCCCCTGGATCTGGGTTAGTGAGGATGTTATGTGACCATTTAGGCCTCCAGGCATCCGCCCTGGGGACATCGGCACAGCTTCAGTGTGGAGTGCTGAAGGGGCTCGGGGCTCTCAGGCCCAGGCTCTGACAGGTACTCACTCGGCGTCCACCTGACCGTACCCGCTGGTACCTTCTCGGGCTCAGGCGATGCTGCTGCGAGACGGACAGTAGGTCTGACTTCTTGGTGTCTACTTGCTAGACAAGGGGAAAACACAAACAGAAAGAGATGTTCTTGTGACGAGCACGGTCCCTGGAAATCTCATAGAGGTAATGTGGGCAGAGGGTTGAGGGCAGTGACAAGGGGCCACCGAGGCAAGAGCCTGCCCCAGTGGAGCTGGCAGACATGTCTGCTGTGGTGGGCACCTGGTGGTGGGTAGAGCACAGGCCCGTGAGAGTGCTGGGTTTTGTTGGAAGAGCCGTGTGAAGTCAGATGAAAGGCTTGAGTATGTTATAGCAGGGTTTATGTGCAAGTCTGAGCCTAGAGGCTGTCGTTGGACCAGGTTGGTGACAATGGGCATGGGGCAGGTGTGGACATGGCAAGATTTTGTGTGTGGGAGAACAGAGGGAGTGACTCTAAAATCATGGGCTTCTGTGGCTGGGATGGGACCTTGAGGTGAGGTGAGCTGTAGTGTTGTAGGTCTGAGCTGCCCACAGCACCTCTAGAAGCCAACTAAGGAGACAGCCAGTAGGGAGTCAGGAGTTCAAGGTGGAGGTGGGGCTGGAGGCCAGGGCTTGGCAGTCCTGCACACTTAACGTGAAGGCTCTGTGAGTGGAGCAAAAAGGGGGGCATGTTTTAATGTGAAGGAGTTTGAACTCCATGTGTACAAAGGGTCGCTAAAAGCTCTATGGAAAATATGTATCACAAAGAAACTAAGTGTAGATTTCAGCCCTGCACCGAAGCCATCTTACTTCATTGTCTCATCTGTGCACACTTCAGAGGTGCCCCCCTACAGCAGGGTGTCACAGGACCCCAAGATTCGCAGTATTGCCCTTTTCCTGTGGCTGAGGAAGGCATGGACTGGGCTGTGCCTGCAGGCACTTGTGGCAGCCTGTGCAGAATGGGTGTCATGGTGTGGACAGAACCCACAAGAACTGCCACCCACAATTTTGGGATGCAATCCCCTGGGGACAAAAAGCACAGGACCAGCCATGTAAACAAGGTCCCCAGGCACACTGTGTGCCGCTGTCACTTTTTAAAAAAAGTTTATTCATTTATTTGAAGGGCAGAGGGGTGAGGATGAGAGAGATTTAAAAAGATTCATCATCCATGCTTCACTCCCTAAAGGCCCACAGTGGAGCTGGGGCCAGGCTGAAGCTGAGAGTCTGAAATAGTCTCTGGGTCTCCCATATGGGCAGGCAAGGACTCAAGTCCTCAGGTCACGTCTGCCTGCTTGCCTGCCAGGATGCATTCATTAGCAGGGTGCTGGTTGCTTCATGGAGACCATACTTGGTCCCAGGCATCCCAAGCAGCATCCTAACACCTGCGCTGCAGCACCAGCCTGACCTCCAGTTCTTAACAGGTGCAGGCACCTGCACGACAGGTGCCAGACACCCCTGTAGAGGTGAATCTGGAGAGGAATCAGAATTCCATGAGCTGTCATCACTGGGACAGGGCTCCTTCCTGGGGGCTGGGATTGTGCAGGTCTGTGGGGAAACAGCCACGCTGCAGCTGCGGGGTGGTTCAGAGAAGCGACTGGGGGTGGTGAATGCTAGGGCAATCAGGGGGATGAACTGCCCGAGAGCAAGTGGCCATGGCCAGGTGGCCGTCACGTGGTTTGCCACTTTGTGCTGCATTTCTAGGATGCCCCAAAGCAAGGCTGCAGCCCAGGATTGCCCTGCAGCCCCAGAATTCCTCAGGCCACTGATCCTGGCGACCTTCTCCCTCCAGCCTCACCTATGTTCACCTCTTCCTCTACTCCCTCCTGGCTTTCCCTGGGCACAGCCACTCCTGGTGTCAGACCTTAATGACTCCCTACTGCCCTGCGAGCCCCTCTGTGCTTGTCTACAAACCCTGGCCCAATGCCCTCACTCACACGCTGGGCTTTCCCCTCCGAGAAGTCCTCCCAGACATGCACATGGTGAGGACTCAGCTCCACCCGCATGAGACAACAGTTCCTGCTATCATTTCCCAGAAGAGGCCAGGCTTGGGAAGGTCCAGGGACTCAAGTGACACAGCCCACTGAGTGGTACTCCCCATTCGAGGTCAAGGCCCAGGGTACTGATTGTCACAAGAAAGGAAAGGAGGTTGGCTCTATTCTCCTTTGGCTTGGGGCCTGGCAAGCCCCAAGTCCATAGACTGAGCTGCAGCAGAGATGGGCCACAGTGCTGGGTGGTCCCCAGTCTCCTTTCTGCCCACTTCCAGAGCGAGAGGAGAAAGGCTGCATTTTCTAACTGACCCTTGTGCTTGGCCCGGCCATGAGGCTGTTTCAGAGCCCAGCTGAGCACACGTGGCAGGAAGGCATGACAACGAGGTGAGCAGAAGGGCTAACCCTAGCCCCACTGCTGAGTTGATGCCATCCGCACCAGCCTGCAGGTCCCGCCTGCACCCTGCAAGTCGTGGCAGCCTTCAGCCCTAGGACCTGCTTCCCCAGGATGCTGTCCCATGCAATCTGGTGTGGTCCTGATCCAAGGTCCGCCCCCCTCCCAGGTCCTGCATGTGTGGGGCAAATGAATGTGTGTATGTGTGCATGTGTGCACATGCACACGCATGTATAGGGAGCTATGGCGGCACTGCTGGGAAAGGCACTGGCTTCAGGAGACAGCGGTCTGATGGACGCTGGTGCATGCCCACTGTGTCTGGATCTGCCGCCTTCCCAGAGCGAACAGTAAGGCTGCGTGTGCACAGCACAGACCTCCCACACCAGGTGTTCCCTGCGGGCATCTGGCTTCTGCACACAGACCAAGCCCTCTCCTCCCTCATCCCTTGCCCTGCCCCAACCTAATCCAGCCCTCAGCCTTTTGGGATTAAGGGTCCAGGACTAGGATTGCTGAATCCATCTTCAGTCTGAGTGGGGTTTTTTGGGGGGTGGTAGGACAGGTAATGCAGGGAACAATGCCAAACTATTTTCCACCGAGGCTGCACCCTTTTCCTTCCCACCAATACTGTGAACACATCCTTGCCAATACCTGTGACTTCAAGTTTGTTCTTTGTAAATGCTTTTATGCTACAGTTTATTCACTTGAAAGGGAGAGAAAGTGAGTGAGTAAGCCAACAAGCAGGGCTGGGCCAGGCCAAAGATGGGAGTCCAGAACCCAGTCCAGGTCCGCTATGGGATGGCAGGGAGCCAACTTCCTGAGCCGTCACCACTGCCTCCCAGGACATGCTGCAGAGGGGAGTTGAAAATGAGGTGGAGTCAGGAACTTGAACCCAGGCATTCCAATATTGGACCTGGGCACCCCAAGGGGCATCTTAAACCGCCCCTCACCCCAGTCACAACCACCCTTTCCTATATGTGTGTGGGCAGCTATTCTGACAGATGCGAGGTGGTGTCTCTCCATGGTTGTGCTTGTGTTTCCCCAGTGACTCAGGAAGTTGAGCTTTTTCAAACATATTTTGTGGTCACTTGTTTGTCTTTGGAAAAACGTCTTTACTTGCTTTGCTCACGTTTGAGTTGTTTGGGTTTTTTGTTTATTTGCTTTACTTTTTTCCTGTGATTCCCTTCAGTTATAAAAATAGACCCCTGGATCTTAGTAATCCCTTGTCAGAGATTTCTAAGCTGACATATTCATCTGGCTCTCCAAGAGCATGGAGGGGTCAAGGAGAGTATACTTGACAGATACAGCCAAGGTGATCATATCACTCAGTGGGAGGGAATCAAGGGCCAGCCCCTGTGCAGACCCCAGCACCACCAAGTGCACGGTCAACAAGCACGCACATGTACACACATACATACGCACCCTGGGTTCTGGAGGACAAAGTCCTTTAGGCCCACTGCCCCTGGAGTGCTTGGTCACTCCCTCTTTGGCTACCTGCTGCCAGGCTGCAAGCTGGGAGCCCACCCAGCCAACACTGACAATTGGCTGCAACTTTCCCCCATCCCTACTCCATCCAGCTACACTTCCCCGGGAGCTGCAAGGTTGGCCACTCTCAGGGGTTCCAAAGAGCCGACCTGACTGCTTCTGCCCTCGGCTGTTTCAGTGCAGTGCCGGGTTCCTGGACGCTGCTGCTCGACCTGTTGGGTGACATCACGCTTATTCTGAGATTCTCTCAGATGCTTCAGCCAAGGGTCACTCGGGTTGTCCATTGCTGTGGTCACTGCTCATGTCTGTGTGTTGGTCTTGTCGCTTGCATCTCTACTAGATTAATTCCCTGGATCTATAGTGGCTCTCTGGGAAATTCTTCAGGCTTGTCTAAACACTGAACTATGTCATCAGTGAAGAGACAGCTCCACTTCCTCCTTTTCAGTGTATTTGTTTCCATTGCCTGGTTGCTTTGGCTCACACATTTAATACAATGTGGAGCAGCATTGCCTTGTTTCTAGTCTTTTTTTAAAAAAAAAATACTATTTAATTTTATTTTTGATGATGTTTTACACAGTTGGTTTGGGTGGGAAGGGTCAAGGGATAGGGGAAAGTGAGTGAAACCATTGTTTTCAAACTTTCTTTACTTCCTGTATTGGGGAAAGCAGGGAGAGAAGGGAAGAAGCTGCACCCACCCTCTCAACCACCTCAGCACCCAGGGATGGGGAATGGCCACCCAGCATCTTCCCAGGGTCCCTGATGTGGAACATACCCTGAGAGTTCTGCTCAGGTGATTTCAATAGTTCTATAATATTGTCATTTTTGCTGATTCAAGGATGAGGATATTCTTGCAAGGTCCATTGGCTGACATAGTCCACCTTACAGTCTCCAAGCGCCGATATATTTGCCGTCAACACTTGGCTGGGGTAGTTGACCATTTTGTTCTGCCCTCCATCCTCTGCTATGGTATCGGGTGTCCTCTGCAGGCCCCAGTGGGCTGCCATATACTCCATGTGCATCTGGGTATGCCATCCGCTGCTCCATCTGAGCCACTGAGGAGGCCCAGTTCTGACCATGTATTCCATGATCAGCAAGTACAGTGGCCTTGTCGATGGAAGTTCCTCAGAAGTCATTCCTTACCTGTAACATACTCTCTCACCAAGTCCTCCCCCCTTCCACACATCTGTTTGCCCCTTTCCCTGGTACAGTCCCAGCACATGGGGTGCCCTGTGCCAAATGGTGCTCAAGCTGAGCTAGGGGTCCGTGGCTCCAAATGGCACTGGCATGGGCCAGCCCAAACCAGGCTGGGGGCCCACAGCTCCAAATCCCCCCACATATCTTGAGATTGAATGAAATGGAATAAAAATAGGCTACTGTGGTGGCACACTGGTATAGGCAACACAAATTTGGCATTAACCGGGCCCAGGATGTTCTCCAGCTGTTGGCTACCTTTCTCCTGGCTGTTTAACAGTTGCGTAGGCACAAGGCAACCTAGGGTGTTGTCTACAGTTGGGACCTTGTTCCTAGTCTTACAAGGGAAGATTTCTGGCCAGTGGATTTTTACTGAGGCTTACTTTGGTCCAGGCTCTGGACAGGCATTCTGTTGGCATGAGAGGCGCGAAGAAGAAAGACATGACATGCCGGCCCTGCTGTCCTCTCAGCCTGGAACAGTCCTCCTCTAGAGCCTCTGTGACTCCCTCCTTCCCAGATTCTCCCAGCACTGGGAACACAGACCTGACAGGCAGCAGGTGTCAGCCCCCTTGGCCTCTCGGAGACTCCCTTGGCCTCATCCTCCTGCTGCAGTCCTGGTCCTGCAGCCTGGCCCCTTGCAAAGATGCTTGGTCACTCAGTGACCTACAGTTCCCATGGCACTGTGAGGCTCAAACCACATGCTGGGCCAGATTTTAGAGCCACAGAGATGGAGGGTCCAGCAGCAGGCCTCGTCCCCTGTACAGACTCTGTCCTGGGACTGGTGCTGCAGGGATGGGACCAGAGCAGGGGAAGGAGGATGCTGGTCCTATGGTCCCTGTCCCGGCCCCCAGCTCCTAGCTCTGTGTAAGAAGTCAAGGCTCTGCCCTGTTCTTTGCCCCCTTCTGCCTGGCCAAGACCTGGCAATCCCAGGCCCTGCCTGCCTGCCTGGTGTGCTCACAAATGCACAGCTCTTGAATTCATCCAGTCCCCCGCCTGCCACCTGCCCGCTACCCCAGGGCCACAGAGGAATCAGTATCATTTGTAGAGCCTCCCATGGCCTCTGACAGCAAATTCCTTGTTTTGCTTTGTGTGTGTGTGTGTATGTGTGTATGTGTGTGTGTGTACTGAAAGTCAAGCTGTTATCAGCCAACATTTCAAAACTCAACTTTTTTTTTTAATGACCCTATTTTAGTCTTTCTTCATCTTATAGTTTCCCCTGGAGAAAAAGGGCAGACATAGTGTGACAGGTGTTACCAGCATGGTGTTACGGTTGCGCACACTCAGAAGCAAGCTATTGGCTTATCAGTGGACTAACAAAGTCAGGCTGTAGCCACACTATAGAATTCTTGTTCTGCTCAGAAGCAGAAAAACAAACAAACAAATCCTAAGGCAATTCCCAAGGGACCTATAAGGACACATCCCTGCAGCCTAAGGAGTGAAGGCCAAGAGCCAGCTACCCAAGGTGACCGTTTGTGTGAGTCAAAGCTGAATCTACCTGTTTGTGTGTGCAGAAGCATGCAGGCAGAGATGGGTGATACCCTCTTCATGCAGGGGACACTGTGTCTAGGGCCAGGGCGAGGGAGGCTGTTCAGGGGCTATGGGCCTTTGGGTTTGGACCTGCAGAATTTTTTCCCATGTCAGGACCACCATCATGGGCAACCAGTCACAGACATGTGGTTCAGCCTGGGGAAGGGATGTGTCACCCCAGGGGCTAGTGGCACCCAGCCCCTTGGGCACAGCGGGAGTACAGCTGGGAGAGGCTCCCTGTACTGTGCTCCTTTCCCTGCCTGGTCCAGGTGTGACGTGTACCCCCAATTCCCACACTACATCCACCCCCAAAATCCCACATGGGCCCAAAGCAGACATGGGGTAAGTGTTCTGCACACACACATGAGAGAGTTCCAGGGAAGAGGAAGACCCCACACCCACCGCCCTGGGGGTCTGACAGCCACAACAGTCACTGTCATACCAAGGGCCTGTGATGCCAGCATCCTGGTCTGATGGAAAATCACCTTCCTCCCCGATAACCTCTGAGAGCCCCCTGCCTGCCGGGTACTCACCGTCGCTGGTCTTGCTCTTAGAGGCTGCCATGGACAACTTCTCGGACATCCTGGCTGAAGCCAATGCAGAGCTTGACCTTGGCTGAAGGAGCTGCTCACCTGGGAGGAGGGAAGGGCGCCTGAGCCCTGTGGTCCCCAAGACCCCCAATTCCCGCCCATCCTGCCCAGACCCCAGGGGGTACCTGGCAATAGCAGGCATTTGCTGAGGGCTGGTTGAGTGGCAGATTTATCCTCCCCACCTCCTGCCAGCTCTGGTTCCCTCTGTCTAACCTTTCTGTTCTTTGAGCAATCCGGAATCCTGGGCAGCCTTAAGGTCCAGAGTTTCTCCCACACCTAGTGCAGCTGGGGGCTCCCCTCCCCCACATCCCTTTTCCAGGGTGCCCCACCCCAGTATTTTTCTCTCCCCACCCTGACCTGCCTTTGCAATGACCACTCCGATCATCAGCTCCTGTACATTCATCAGTTTATTGTCAGTTTCCCTCTGGAGCCAGAAGCTCCATCAGCGCGGGGGGGTCTGCGACCTTAGCACTCCTCAGCTAGGCAGAATGTAGAGGACTGTCACGTTTGCAGAGATCTGGCTAGTGGGCAAGCCAAGGGCTAGGGCCTGGAATCCCACTCGGGTTTCCTTGAGTCTGATGTTTGTATCATTCCCGCTACACTATAACGCCCTGGAGGAGGGGGAGGGGTTCTGGGCCCGGCCGAGCCATTCGCAGGTGAGTGGCACCCACATCCTGACAGCTCCACCGCGCCCTGGTCACAGGGGCGAGGCACCCCGCTACCCCCAACCTCTGGGTGCTGGGATAGAAGGACTGGGCGTGCAGGGATAAAAGCGACATAGCAATCGCAGCAGCAGCAAAGAAGGGGTGGCTGCATAAACTCGCCGCGGGAGGGACGCTCCAAGGCTCCGCTCAGGCACCGCCCCCCCCCACCCCCCCGCCCCGCGCCCCTACGTTTTGCCCCCAGCCTCGCGCGCCCCCTGGTCCCGCGACACCCACCGGCGGGACAACGAAGCCTCCTGGCCACCGCAGTTCTCTGCCTTAGAGCACGGAGCTCTGAGTTGGCGTCGTCGCCCAGGCAACCATTCCCGGCTGGTAATGAAGTCACAAGAGTCGGGACAAGGGTGGGGAGAACAACCCCCGCACAAACCGAGTTTGCGCTCTGCTGGCTGTCTCGCAGCACTCCAAGCTAGCAGGAACGTCAGGCCGCAGTGCGCTTTCCAAAGAGGCGGATTTCAAAGTGTGGAGCCAGGCCTAGCAGCCTCAAACTTGCCAGGGAGTTACCAGAAAACCAAGTTTTCAGCTCCTGCTCAGAATCAGAGACTATCTGAGTGGAAGCCAACGAGCATTTTAGTTTTAACGGATCCAAGTTGCCCCTCGCCTCAGAGATACAAAAGGAGCTGCGGGGGGTGGGAGGATGGGACAAGCGTTCAGCAAGAGACCCCTTCTCACCACAATGACCACAAGTGTGCTGGGCCATGGCAGATAGGGTTTTGGGGACCTGTGGAACTGTCTTCAGGCAACCATGTAGCTCCATGACAGTGAGGAGGTGGGGGCAAGCTCCATGGAGTCAGGAGTCAGGAGTCAGGATGTAAAGGGGCTCTTTGAACCAGCACTTGTAGGACAGTATGCACATTGGCAGTGAGCACATTGGGAAGGGTTTCCTCATTCCTGTGTGTATACACTCATGGGAATGTGGATATGTGCATGCCTGCAAGGGAGTATATTTTTGGCTACCACTAGAATGAGATGCCCGGAGCAGACAGGTGAGGCCCTGTGACCCCTGGACACAGGTTCCTCACACTGTGGTTGGAAGCCCTAAATGACTGAGCAGCCTGGCTCCCTGCAAGCCTGTAAGCTGCAGCTGCCCTCTGGGGCTCTGTGGACGTGATTGCTGCTGAGATGCTGTTCCACAAACACCAGGAGCTCTGGCACGGCTTTCAGGAATCTAGGGCACCAGGAACCCTTAGGACAGAGCCAGTTCCCTGTTCTCGGCAACTTACTTAGGTTCCCACATGGGTCCTCTCCAGGAGCCTTTGGCATGCTGTCTAGGCGGCCAGCCTCTATGGCCACCTGAGTGATGAGTTCATGATTACTGCTGTCCTTCCACGGGGAACCAGCCAGTACCCCAGCTGGGGTGGACAGGCGAGCAGGGCGATCCCATCTTAAGTAGACATACTGCTGGCTCCAGGGACTAGCAGTTTAGCAAACCAATGACACATTAGCTGTGGAAACATGAAAGTCTGAAGAAGATCTTCACTCCCCACAGGGCCACAGCCAGCTGCAGGTGTGTTCAGTGGAGCTATGATGAGGGCCCATGCCCCAGCTGTGCTCGTCTCACCCACAAGGCTTGGCTCAACAGCTCACACCTGTGCCTTCCACAGGCTGTGGCTTCTGCGACAGGGGGTCAGGATGGAGTGGGGCATAACCTCAGCCCCAGCAGGGACCTTCCATGATTCGGAGTTACCAGGAGAACAGATGGCCACACGAAGTCATTTGGTCCCACCGAAGTCCCTGCAGCATCACAGGTCAGGTGCTTTTGTGACCCAGCCATGGCCATTTCTCACCTCCCGGGTTGGCTTCCTGGGAAGTGCCTTTTGCCTGGACTCACACCCAGACATCTCCTGTTTTATTCTGACCACATTTTCCAGGCTCCTTGCCCTCTGGTGTCTGGGTTGGTCTCGTGGGTAGCAGATAAAGGGAAGCAGGACCAGTGCCCCTGCTCTGGGTTCCAGTGCCACGCATGCCACCCATGGCCTGCAGCTCTGCTCTGAGGATTGTGTTTTCCCAACAGAAGGCGACACCCAATAGACAGAGGCAGGGGAGCTTGGTGGTCAGTGTGGATTGTGGCTTCCATCCTGGCTCTGTCCCTTACTGGGTGTGTGACCTTGGACAAGTGACTTCCCTGCTCTGGGTCTTGGTTTTCTCACCTATGAAATGGGAATAACAAGAACCACCTGGGAGGGAGTCCTACAGTGGATACCTGTGACTATCTATGCCCTACCATGATGTGTGGGATGCATCTGCTTGATGAGGTTCACCCGTGTGCAAGCCTGGCCCTGCACAAAAGTGGGCTGTAGTGTTATTTCTGTAAGAAAGCTGGAGATCAGAGACACAAAGCCATTTGCTCCAGGCCATACAACCCTTAAGGGTGGATTCTAGAGTTGGGATTCGGGCTCAGGCCATTGAGCCCTACGGAGGTCCAGCCTGTGCTTTTTCCCACAGCCTGGGAAGTGGTGGTCGGAGGTTGGAGGGAGTTTTGGGGTCTGGGGCTACAGATGTATTCTGCGATCCCATAGGCTGCTTCCTCCCCAGCTCCTCCTGTGCTTGTCGATTGTTGGGAGACCCGCAACTTGGGGTTATGCAAGTTGAGCTGCTTGAGAACTCGGCGGGGCACAGCTCCCAGCATGGGCAGGTCTGGGTAGTAGGCAGTCAGCACAGGCGTTGATTCCTCCAAGGTGTGTGGAGTGGGATCACGCACACTTCTGGGACGCCTTCCTGGGACTTCCTTGCCCAGAGGCTTGCACGTGCACTTCCCTTTGGCTCAGAGGTGGTGGCTTTGGAGAAGGAACTAATGTATGACTTCAGGACTTGGAGTCCAGGGCATTGTACAGGTAGTGCCACCACTGTGCGCTCCTGGCACTGTCCCCACTGTGCTGAGCAGCGATGGCCCACGGGCAGATGCTGTGGTGACTGAGCATCCTCCGTGTCTGGGCAGCTGTTCCCACTGGTGCTTGTGATGCTGCAGCCTGGCCTACTTTTATTCATCCTGCGAGCAGTTGTGTGAATGGCCTGACCCCTCAAGTGGTCAGATTCGTGGTCTAATGGAATCCTTGGCTTTGTGGACAGGGTGCCGTGATGTTTCCAAGCCAGTTATTGGTGGCGTCAGTGGCGGCTGAGGACATCAGGATGGAGCTGGACTCAGTCTGCACTTGGGAGGCCGGGTGGACCAGTGGGCTGTAGGCAGCTCCTGGGCACTTCCCTGGGCTTGGATGGCCTGTGTGCATCTGCTGTGTTGGTGATTGTTTTAGAAGAAGTGTGTGATTAGCTCTCCTCTGCAGACAGAAACTGCCGGAACGCACATCACCTGCTTCGTGGTTCTGGCACTTGTAAGTCTTGACTGTGGCTCCACACCTGTGTGCCATTAGCAAACAGATTTGGATGTTTGCTTTGGTAAAGAAAGTATTTAAAATGAGATGATGGTGGTAAGCACACGAGGCTGTGGCTATGACCCCTATACTGTAAATGGTGAGGTTTGGGGCTTATTACTGAATTTAATACATTACATGGAAAAGCAACAGCAAGCTGAGCCCAATGCAGATGCTCCTGAGTGGCCAGGAAGGAGTCAGAAGTTCTAACTGGATTGGCCACTGAGCAGGTGCACCTTAGTGAGAGGGAAGTTTCAGGAGGTGTTGGGGGAGGGGAGATGGGCACATGGACAGTCCCAGTGATGTCTTAGCCATGATTCTGTCTTCCTGTCCATACCTTCCCCGTAGCCTGGTAGGGAACCAGGACACCACAGCCAGGCCAGAGGCTGCTGTGGATGAGGGGTGGACCAGCCAGGAGTGGGAAGGCAGCACAGCTGTGCAAGAAGGTTCATAGCATTGACCTGGGTCATGCTCTGGGCCAGGAGGAGGGACAGAGACTAGACTAGGGTCAGATGGGGTCTTACAGTCCTGCCTGACTCTAGTTAGCTCTTCAAGAAGCAAAAAACACCAGCAGAAGTGACTTACCTAACAAGATATTATCTCGTGGACTGACTGGAACCCTCCTGGTCACATCTCTTTCACCTGCTGCCCACCCCCACCCCTCCTGCATCCACCCACAGCATACCCCATAGTATCCTGCCTGCCCCAAACAAGCCACTGGCCTGAGCAGGGACTGGATTCTGGGACGAGGGGGATCCAGTGCTGGAGCTGTGGCCTGGGACAAGGATGGGTGCCTGGAGACCAACTGGCATGCCAGGAGGGAGATTTGAGTGGACATCGGACTGGTCCCCATTGGCGACTATTGCACACACAGCTCCCCACCCTGGGGTGTCTGTGAGCCCTCG